AAAACTCTCAATCTGACTGGATTCCTGAGTCAGCAGTGGACAGAGCCCTGTTTTTCACGAAGCACTGCGTAGCAGACCCGACCTCGTCCGACGCCGAGTAAATGGTCACATCACCGCCCTGATATGCAGGCACGAGATAGCCCGGGCGGAGGCCGGTCCCTCCCGCCTCCGCCGCCGCGGGGCGGACCGGCGGGTCGGTAGATCGGTCCCCGCTCCGGCTCCGACGCCGCCCGAACCCCCATCTCACCCGCCCGGTCACTCCTGGCGCGTCTTCATGAGCTCCAGCAGGCAGCCCACCGCCCCGAAGTACCCCTCGTGTTCCAGGAAGAGCGCCTTCATCTGGCCCGACGACCAGAAGTTCATGGCGAACGAGAGCAGCTTCATGGATATCTCGTTGACACGCAGGAAATTACCCATGAAGATGACCCTCTCGATCTGCTCGTTGACCGCGCACAGACGCGCGATGGAGCCGATGTTGTTGGTGATTGTGGCCAGCGTGGCGCGTGCCAGGTCACAACGGTTGACCGCCTTCCGGCGCTGCAGCACGTGCATGTGCCCGAAGCTGGAGGCGACCGTGTCGCCGCTGAGACCGAACCGGCCGTAGTCGCCGCCGTAGATGTCTCGCACGAGTTTGTCGACGCGGGTGTGGTCGCCACGCGCCGCCAGCTCGATGGCCTCCTCGAACGTGGAGCAGCCGGTGAGCAGGCAGCAGAGGCCGAGGAAGGTGCCGCCGCCCAGACTGGTGCCCGAGACGCGCTTGTACTCGTCCGGTCCGTACACGGCCAGGATGCTCACCCCGGAGCCGATGTTCACCACAAGGTACGGGTACGGCTGGCTGAAGTCGAACGGCACCTTCCTGCAGAGCCGGTCGTCACAAGGCTCCTCCCAGTAGTAGAGCTCGTGGCTGTTGTTGTTCTCGATGTAGTGCAGGCCGTTCAACAGGGAGTCAAGCTCATCAAACTTATGCAGCTGCATGTTGACTTCGCGCTGGAACTCTTCCTCAAACTTGTAGGCGCCTCCACCGGTCGCACAGATGGTGGAAGCGAGCGTGGCCATGCCCTTCGACTTGGCCAGCTCGAGGAAGTTGCCCATCTCGCAGGTGGGGAAGCGGATGTAGTGCAGCGTGCCCTGACGGCCGCAGATCTGCACATTGTTCATCTGCAGGTGCGAGTCGCGGTGGCCGGTCGAGCCGTAGGCCGAGTTGCTGGTCAGATAGCGGCGGATGTTTTTCAGCGTCTCCACTTCCTCGGCCTCCTCGTCTGGTGACGTGTCGGTCGGCTCAAAGTAGACGATCTTGGTGAGCGTGCCGCCGATGTCCATGCCGAACCAGGGCATCGACGGCAGGTGCTCGGTCGGCCAGTGCGGGTGCTTGCCGTTTCCGTTGAGCACACCGTTCACGCGCGGCTCGACGGCCCCGTTCTCACCACCACCAGCGGCGCCCACAGTCGCGCAGAGCGTGGCCGCCGGCTCGCCGGCCGCGCCGCAGATGAGCTGATCGCCATCGACACCATGCAGCGTCCGATCGCCATCGGCGCCCACAGCCAGCCGCTCACCGTCCCCACTGTGCAAAATCTCACCGACCGTGTCGTGCATGGTGTCCGCAGCGCAGCCGTTCTCCCGTCGTACCGCCGCCGTCTCAGTCGTGCGACTACAGTCCTCGGCAGAGCTGGAGCGACTGGCCGGACGGTCGGCGCTGTGACGCAGCCGCTTTCTGGGGCTGGCCGGCTCCGAGGAGCCCAGCCGCCGCGGAAGCATGGCGCCCGCCGCACCGCCTGCGCCGGAGCACCACCTGTCGGAGGACGCGCGCATCTGTCGTAACACAGGCCGGAGATCACAGCGCCGATTAGTGCTCGCTGTCAGCACAGGTGAACAGATTGCGCCGCTTCGTCGGCGGTCAAACTTTAAAAAAGAGCACAGGTTTGGCGAATGGATGTGGATGTGGGCTGTAATTGTCGCTCCGAAGAACGGATCGTCATCGTTTGAACATGAGGATGCTGGATGAAAAACGCTGTAACAATCAGAGAAAAGCTAGGCAAACTATTTCAGTATCTACGTTATCGTTGAAATTCGCTAACCTTAGTTACTCTAGATGCTACTTTCTTATTTCATCTATGTTTGACCGCAACGCAGCTCGACTATTCGACAAGTCACATACAGAACCTAAAAGGGCCTCTGGAGTCTCTCTTCCATAGACCATAACCCGGCAGTTGCTGGGGTATTTCGCCACCCACCGTTTGCTGGGGGGGGGGGGGGGCGTTAAACGCCCCCAGCCGATAACTCGAGAACCAATAGGCGCAGCGAAACGCACGCGGCGGCAAACGAAAGAGCGCGACGAGACGCTTCAGATGAGTACTTTAAAGTTGAACTTTGAGGTCACAGGTCGGGTCAAGGTCAGGTCAAACACCTGAAATCGGGCTTTCAGTAGCATGGACTTCAGGACTTCGCAATGGGCACCTCTCGTCATAAACTCTGTCAAAACGGTGCACAATACATCATATAAGGCCTACAAGAGTGTCAGCTCCATGTAGGGGTCAGTCAATCATAGGTCAGGGTCAAGGTCAGGTCAACCGGGTAGGCACATATCCCCGAAAATCAAAACTGATATTCGCAGCCTGTGACACATGTTTTATAGGTAATTTGGGGCGTAGAACACGATGGTGACATTCATTTTATCATATGTGTACGTGTTTGGCTCAAAAAGTTCAATTTAAGAAATGCATGAATCATGGTCGTGAAGTAGTCACGAAAAATTGCCAAGATTCAGTTCAAGATTATGGAAAATGCGGAACGATAATCAATAATCGAAGATAGCTATTTGATTGATCATGGTATTGGCAGTCTAATGGCGTTTACGGCATGTCTGTATGTCTATTCTGTGATTTTATATGATTTTTTGAACATATGCCGTTTTTGGTCGAAAACTCAGAAATCATGACGTCACTAAAATCTCGATATCTCAAAAATTTTCCAACTGATTTTTTTGAAACTTTGTCACGATAAACTTCAATCAATTCCCTACAGGTACCCAAAATTTGGCGCGCCTGCGGCGCGCCGTTTTTATGCTATGGCCCGGCGAAAAAAGTGGGGGCGTTTAACGCCCCCCCCCCCCAGCAACTCGCGGGATAACAAACGTATTTATCAACAAGCACTTCGAACGCACAGTTCATCCGTTTCGGGAGAAAGAATCTGCATCTATGTCAGAAAACCAAAGATTCATCCCGATACCTACCAAACACAAATTGCCATGCCATCCCCTCAGGTCCCAAGAAAACGCCAGAGCCCAGATAGCGCTTATGGTTGGCCCTAAGTCCAAACTTCCTACCGAAGTCGGCAGCATCGTTCGGTGACAGATCCTTGCTCATTTGGTGCCAGACTGCCCAACAGGTAGACAACCCAGCATGACAGCAACATGATCGCGCATTTCGGGTACCCGGTAATGCCTCCGCGCTGATTTGCCGTGTAAGCGTTACTTCCGTGCTAATTTGCCGTGTCACCGTTACGTTACCTTTGTGCTAATTTGTCGCTAGAAACCGCGGCATCGTTTGGCCACATTTTCGAGCTTATAACGGAATTATGCTTACTCAAGGGAAGAAACTGAACTGTTAACACTTACCTTTAGGGCCGGTCCTGTCTAAAATGCATTGTGTCATAATCACGTAATGTGCTTAAATGGATCGTCCTTTAGTGTTTTAAATTCCTACATTCACTATCGTATAATCCATCGCCAAAACAACACAAAATGTGAAGCTAAGACGGCCGCGCTAAATTGGGTCAAAACAGCTAGACATCACATCGCCGAGATTTGGCATGAGATGGCGGTTCTAGACCAGGCATTTGGCACGATTCACGCGATGCCATAACTATCTGGCAGACGGACAGCCAGACTGTCTGACAGGTAGGCAAACCCGCATGGCCCCGTTTGGCAGCGAGGTGACGGATGACGCACACCAAGATACCTATAAGACGCACACGTCAGCCAGTGGTCACGGTCCGGTCCGGTTGGCGCACATGCCCCGCCCCGGTCCAATTTCTGGACTGGACTGCGCCGTAGACCGATGGCTGGAACGGTCGGATCACGGATGATAACATAGCAATTTGAACCTCTACATCTATGCGAAGATATAATACCTAGTAATCGTAGCTATTTATACAAGGACAAGGTCCGAAATAAGGTGGATATTTAGGTCAAGGGCGTTAAATATCTCGGGAAACCCGTACAAAATCCCAAAGATACGCGACAGTTTTTTAACATTATGAAAAAAAAAATGTCATGACCAAACCTTTATATCTTGCCTCGATATGGTTACATATGGAAGCGATACACCTCAACCAATATGACGCGTTAGTTACACAATTCACAATTCCCAGGCGTCTTCACGGGTATAAACCATATTTAAAAAGAATAAAACATCCAGGCAGTTGATAAGGAGCAAAACGAAAAAGCAACAAAAAGCAAATAAAAATGAAAAACTCTATCTCAATAACCATATCACAAACCTCAATAAGAATAACTGCAGGGGCCAGGGCATTTGACGTTCAAACCCGCCTGCATAACACTTGGGGTTGACCGGATCGGGCAAAATGTGTATAAAAGCAAAGGCCACTGTTCAAAGGTTCTTATATACAAGACTTACCGGTCTAGAACCTTCCAATTTCCATGACTCGCATCGACTCATCTGTAGCAGGCTTGCGGGCTGAGGAAGTAGAGCATAAAGTTCTTCTGCCAGTTTTGTCTCTTTAGCGCAATTATTGTATTTGTGTCCAGCTGAGAAAAAAAGTATTACTCTTACGTTACGTTTAAATCATTTTATATCAGTAACAAAGCATAACTTGTAAATTTTAAACAAATGTCTACATTTTTCTGCCGAAAGTACGTAGAACAAACATTTCTTGAAAAGAAAAAAGGAGGAATAACAAAAAATAAATAGGCTGTGACGTCATTTTCTCCAACAAAATAGTTTAGTCAAAACAAACATTTCTTCAAAGCCTGACCCATGCAAGTTTATTTCATTTTGATTGGGGTGTATGGTGTTAGGTGTATTTTCATTTCAATACAAGCTTTATACATATTATACAATTTCCCTTATATAAAGGTGCATTTTAATGTGCATGCATACATTATCTCTATTACATACTGCTGATCTTTGATAATGTTAAATTGAAATGGATTAAACTAGGGTTACCCGCGTGCTCCGCAACGCGAAGAAGGGTTATTTTTGACCCGTGGGTATTGGGTTGGTCTGTGTCGATTTGGTTGGTGTCCATTTCGTTCGATTGCTTTTTGACGGCCAAACATTTTGTAGTGAAACAAAAAGATCCATCGCATTGAGGTGCCTGTGTCGTATTATCATGCGTTCTACTTAAGAATGATTCGAAAACTGGCGTGAAGTCTTTTGAGGGCCATCGATGAATTTCGCTAAAAATGGCGATGTAATGGTTTGGAACATTTACATTTTTAAGAATACTGTTGCCCGTCATGCAAAAATGTAGAGTGAATATTGGACAGAATTGAATGCTCTTTCCAACGGTGCCAATTTTTAATTGCCAGAGATATCAGATCATGGAGCAAAACCCGTGTGATATATAAAGTGGCACAAAATTGACAAACACCATTTTCTCCCGTGACTTGTACCACCTTGATTTGGATCAATCAGCTTTTCACAATTTTTCCATGAGAGGCGGTACATTTCTCTTGCCAATAGGCGTTGTTTCAACTCGCTCCGTCTGACGGTCACCTGAAAATAATATAAATTCCGAAATCCGTCCAAAATGTCAATTTTCCAAATAAAAGTGCCCTCCCCACGTGCACGTGGCGCGTGCCATCCCCTGCACCGCACACCATTCGATAGCCCGTTCAATTATCTACACGATGCTGTTTTCCCCGTGCCGATCGGGCCCACGGTTACCGAGATATTGCACGGGGATCGGACCCGTGTCAGGCAAATTTGGCCATTTTCGACTGATTTTGCAAGCCGATTTATACATGTAAAGTCTATGACGCGAATTTGCACTTTTTGGGCACGTGCCACGCGCTCCCTATCGACCCGATCGAGGTCAGATCCCTCAAAGGCACGTCGCGCATCCTTGATCTATGATTTGTGCAAATTTCACCGGGCTAGGTGCAACGGTCTGGCCTGTAGTCCACACAAAGCACCACCAAGTCGGGACCTCGGTAACGGACAGACGCACCCTCCTCAAATAGTAATATAGATGCAATTCAGTTTTATGTAAATCTTGTTGATCGTTTTCAGATAATGTTTAAATGTTCAATTTGATTTCATGCTTAAGTTGCTGTGTAATGTAAAATAGTACTGTTGACTTAATATTACAGCTGCTTATGAATCCTTTTCAGTGCTTTCACACACTTTGAAATGGCTGCTCCTTACATACAAATTGGACTATGTGGCCGAAGCATAGTGAAGCTCTGCAATGCAAGCTCAACAGTTTTTGTGGGTAAGTGCTCTGTTGTACTAGTTGAATTTGTTTATTAAAGATTTTTGCTGAGCAGTCAGTATGTTCTGGCAATCATAATGCTGATTGACTTGGTCTAATGATTTAAATTTGTACTGAATTTGCATCGGCTTGAAGTAAACCTTCCTATAATTATTTTGGTCATGCTTGCAGCCCCCAGCTCAGATTTGTGAGATTTAATTTGTAACAGAGATGATACATGCAGAAGGAAGCCCAGCCCAAGACAATATGGCCGTGGCAGTTTCAGATGGAGGAAGTCATTAAAAAGTAACATTCATCTTGTTTAGTTCAAGTCAAAGGTCAGTTCTCCAAAGATTATCAATACAAAGTTTCACCTATTAAAGTAATTTTGACCGATTGGTATAAAACTCAACAGCCAATAGTGCTACAGTGTGACAGAAAAGTGTGTTGGAACTTGGGTAGCTCTCTAAATTCTTCCCCTATGATGTTCTCGACTCAACCTTTGTAATCACCAAAAATTGTAGCAAGTGGCATAATCCATGGGTATTCAACTTACTGTACTGATTTCATCAATACTTTGGCTTCAAATTTGTGCTACTGTTAATTGACCTTTATCAGCCAGATCTATATAATATAAAGTCATAGGTACTAAATATTTGGATGACTTGTAAGGGTGACTTGGGTTGGGATGGATTACATTACTTAAGGTTAGTAGGTAAGGTCAGATAAGGTCAGGTCAGATTAGGTGAGCTTGAGTATAAATTGAAACAATTGGTTTTATCGTAATAGCAAAGTAGTCTTGGGTTGTCTGCTAGCATTTTAGAAGAGCTGCAATTGGCTTGCATGGATATAGACTAAGGGCATCATCTTATGCATAAGCACTCTTGAAAATATTTCATGATAATCATTCTTTGTCCACTGCTTATTTATTAGCAGTCCGTCGATTTTGTATCTTGCCATATGTGGAAGCCAAATGCCAGCACATCTTGGCATGTCACTGATGACAGGCATAGACCATGCTTGTTCCACCAATGAGAAGCTGAGAAAATAAAATTGGGAGTGAACAGCGCTCGGAAAATTATTCACAGCACGGCAATTCACCGGTGATCACCGGGGGACAGGTGGCTGATTTCCATCGGTATTTTCTGCATATATCGCTTCTTTTTGTGGTGCTTGAGATTCTTTAATCAGTATACAGCGTTTTTGCCGTTATTTGGTCGTATCAGGCGTAGTTTTCAGCCGTTTTGAGTCCCATAAGGAGCCGTAATAACGGGCTGTCTAAAAAGCAGACAAGATTAGCAGACAAGCCCTTGTCAAATGCATTACAATCCTGCTCGCATCAATCGAATGCGGGAGGTGCGTACGATTGATGCGAGCGGTGTTTGAATAGGCTCTCGCTTGCGATTTCCTGACTGTGGAAAGAGTCTGTTTCAGCCTTAAGTGATCCAAACCCCTGAAAACCTTAGCACACGAGCCCACGCTCCGATACTACTAGGCTGATTTCGTCGAAACCTGAAGAAATCGACGCGCCGTGTTCTGAAACGTTGCCGTTTTGAGCATTTTTCAATTGGTCCAAACCGGTCCAAACCCCCTGAAAACTGTTGCAGATGAGTCCATGCTGCGAAACTACGGAACCGATTTCGATGAAACGTTCATCATTCGACGTGCTGTGTTCTGAAACGGTGCCGTTTTCACCTCCCCCCGCAGCAGGGCGCATTGCGTCTGGATCTCCAGCTCTACTTTTACAAATGTTTGTTATAATTGTTTGTGGGAATGCATTAATTTGGGTTTTAAGGGCTCATTTCTATTTTCAGCGAGGAGAACATTCCTTCCGAAGCATGTGAGGCCCACGCTTAGTGCTATTGCTGCAAGAAAGAAGAAGCAGAAGCCGGCTCCTCCAGAGCCGAGGTCTTCTTATATTGAATGGTAGGTAACTGCGCTCTGTCGCCTAGTGGCGTCCATTGCACCGTTACCTATGTCTCGCGCCGCGACTCTGTTTTTTTTTTGGGGGGGGGGTCAAATTATGCGATGCCTTTTCTTTTCACACTTAAGTGTGCTCGTCAATTCTTAGTCTGCCATTTTTGCGATTGATGACGAACGATGACAATGGACAATGGACATTAGCAACTGTCAGGATTTTAGAAGTTCATGACTAGACATGGAAAATGTCATTGCGACTGGCAGATGTAGTGAAAAACCGAAGAAATTACTAGGTAGGAAGTGATGTTGTGTTAGAGCTCGCAGAACACACTACATTAATGTATAAAAAAACGGGGGACGGTTGTTTCAGCTTTCTTTCGACAATGCGTTGTTTTATGTAAGTATCATTATCGATCAATTTACAAAATTTTGTCCCTTTGACGTTTGATAGTCATCGTTTTAGACGCCGTTAAAACCTTCACCGTTTCATGTTTTATGAGGGAGGTTCGTCCGATCGACCTCCGCTGCCCATCTCCCGTACGGTGCTGTGACAGCGTCCCTGACGGCCGTTTCAGGAACTACCCGGCCGAGCTGTTTGCCTTCTCGGCGCGTCTGGGAGAGTCGGTGGACGAACCGCTGCTGCGGCGGGCGCTGACGGAGCGGTCCCACATGCTGCAGAGCCAGGCCGAGCGGCAGCGTCTCGGCCTGGCCGAGAACGAGGTGGGCGGGTGGGTCGCCGTGCCGGCAGCCCCATGGGACTTTTTCAACAAGCACCCGCGTGTCAGTGACGTGATATTCCGGATGTTCAAGGCATAAGACTTTGTTTATCAATAGTGTATGAGATGAATATTGAATGGTTTCCGTTTATGGTATACTGAGGTATAACTTCCAGTTTTCGCTAGTTTCAGGATAGGTAATGCACCGGTAATAATGTTTCAACTGACCTCGCCCGGCGGCTTCTCAGGCGGATTCGGCCTGTAACACTGAGCTGGCCGAGCGCGGCTCGGACATAATGACGTCTTACATCAGCGGCTGGCTGCGCTCCGCCCTGCCCCTACTCCCGGAGGAGGGCGTGCAGTCCGTGACGTCATATCTGACGTCACAACAGGAACTGAACCAACTGGCTTCGGGCATCGGCCTCAAAGACATCATCCTCTCTGAGGTAAATCTGTGATGATTCAGGATGTTCATTCTCCAATGACACTGTCGTTTTTTATAACTCCTTTTCTATCTTCTAGCAGCGGCCCTCCTACTCCCGTTTGCCAACCATGTTCTGACACTGCACTGAGAGTGCCCACTGCCCTCCCTCCCTCCCACCACTGACGCCTCCCACTCCTTCCATCAGGAGTACCCTCCCTCCGAGGAGACGATGGCCCGGTGCCTGCGCGCATTCGTGGCCGCTCTGGCCGAGTCCTCGGGCGAGGAGCGTGCGCAGCTGTTTGTCCGGGACTTTGTGCTGGCCCGGCTGGCCACGGTCGATCTCACTGCCGTCTGGCAGATCGAGGTGGGTTTCTTGGTGATGGAGGGGATGGTATAAAATCGAACAGTCACAGGAATCCAGTCGTTTGAGCTGTACAACATTCTGCTGTGATCGTTCATGATTTATTCCGTATTGTTTCGCCTTTTAAGTTGTTGCGACTTGCGATTCTTGTCTCTATTCTGTCTGACGTAATTCTACTCAATCTGTCATAAGGGAGTCGCTTTCAGTGATTGTTGTCCACTGTGCTGTCTGTTTTATCACTAGAATCTGCTTAGGGTGCTGTCCGACGTTCTATTTGGTCTGTCTGACGTGATGTCTGTGCTCTCTGTGCTGTCTGACGTGCTTTCTGTTCTGCGCACAGGCCGCTGTCTGTGCTGTCTGCCGTGCTGTCTGTTCTGCGCACATGAGCCGTTGTCTGCGCTGTCTGATGTGCTGGATCCGCTGTCTGTTCTGTCTGACGTGCTGTTTGTTCTGTTTGACGTACTGTCTGTTCTGTCTGATATGCTGTCTGCACTGCGCACAGGATCCGCTGTCTGTGCTGTCTGACGTACTATCTGTTCTATTTGACATGCTGTCTGTTCTGCGCACAGTCTGGTATTGCCTGACATCTGTCTGTGCTGTCTGACATGCTTTCTGTTCTGTCTGACGTACCGTCTGTTCTGTCTGACATGCTGTCTGTGCCGTCTGACGTGCTGTATTTGCTGTCTGTGCAGTCTGAGTTGTCTGACGTGCTGTCTGTTCTGTCTGCAGGAGCCGCTTTCTGTGCTGTCTGACGTGCTCCGGCGCTGCGGCCGGGAGCCGCCGGAACCGCGGCTCCTGCGCTCCGCCGGACCCGGCTCCCTGCTGGCCGCATATGTTGTCGGCGTCTACTCGGACCGCAAACTGATGGGCTATGGTGGGTGATTGGGGGATGAATTGGTGGGATATTTAACTTCTGAAAGGTGGTGAGTTGCATTGGGTGGTGACTTACGTGCAATTTTCTGGTGTAACCTAGTTTCTATTTCAGTCGCATTCGACACTATTTTGACGGTGTCGCTTATCTCTTCATTGACTTCTATAGTCATCGTTCCCCCTCCCCCTCCCTCCCCCGCTTTCCCGCCAGCCCCGGGAGACTCGGTCTCGGAGGCCACCGACCTGGCGGCGCGCGCCGCGCTCAACCAGCTGATGGGCGTCTCAGAGCGGAGCGCTCCGCTCGACATCCGCGCCGAGCGTACGCTGCGGCACGCGCCGGCGGCCGCCCTGGACGAGTGGAGGCCGCTCTGAGGCGGCGCGTGGAGCCGCTCTCTCTTTGCGCCTCGCAGGGAGTGTGGGTGTGGGTGTGATGTTGTGTGGAGGCAGTGCCAGAGAATGTTGGGTGATCGAGGGTAGGTAAAAAGTTTGGTATGATGCGAGTGAGTGATCGCCGTTGGTAGGATGGCTGTTACCTGGCGAGACAAGGGACATTGAGAGTATGGTCGAAGGTTGTAGTTGTTCTGGAAGTAAGAACGCGAGGCGAATGCAAGCTGTACGATGGGACTACAACCGCCTTTTTTTTGCCGATAGTTATCTTGTCAGATAATAATACCGGAACACCACAATACGGCATTATGCATCATCTTGACTTATGCAGTTTAAATGAAACACGAAATCATGGCATATTTGATATTATACACTCACAATTTGAAAATTGACGTGACGCGTCTACTGATTGGCTGACTGCCTGGGAGATTCGTGCACATCGCAGTCTGTTGAGCCGCTATTATTTATGGGTGATATGTTAACAGACGGCTAAGCCTTTTCATCCTCACATTTAAAGCTTGCAAATAATAGGGCGGATGACAAGCATCTGGTTTGGAAACAGAAGACCATGCTTTCGGGGTTAATTTCTATACACACTTGTGGATCATTGCAAGGTCAATAATTCTCCCCTTGATTAAAGGGACCCTCCCACCTTCAAAAAAGTTAATGAATTGGCACGAAAGTGATGTCGCTCGGTTCAGAAAGAGCGAAAACGAATATCTACCAAATTTCATCGAAAAATATTCACCGGTTTTCAAGATATTCGACTTTTACTTTTGTTTACTTTTTTGGATCTGCGCTGTTCCTAGCGACTTTATTTGAAAGTGCGGCATTTGTTGCGCGCAAAGCAGCATATACCACCGCGTGCTACCAAACGTTTTAGTAAAAGATTTAAAAATCGTTAGATCTCCGCTGACGTCACAAATTCTAAGGGGGCATACCAATGCACTAGCCCCTTAGAATCCGAAAACTGCAAGTTTGAAATTCCATATCTCCGAATTAAAGCATTTGTCGATGTTGTGAGTGCCCAAACCGGTATTTGCAGGCCATGGCCACCAATTTGGCTATCTCAACTCAAAACTAATGTTAAGGTGGGAGTGTCCCTTTAAGATGAAGAAGCTTGATATCGGAAATACATAATACCGGCAATTACTGATGACGAAAGTAAGCAGCGCGAGATTTCAGGTCCGGTGAATCGTAATCCGGTTTTGGCAGTGAAGAGCGGATGACATCGTGCGACGTACGTACGTGCGCTTTTTGGTGTGCCAACGAGTCGCCTATTGTTCGAGGTTTCGAGGTGTAGGCATTTGGGTTAGTTGAGTGGATGCCCGATATAGTTTGGAACATCGCCGTTAGACGCTCGTAAGTCGCTGTAAGTCGTAATTCCTTTTCTGTAAGGAGGGTCGGTTTATAGTTCAGGGCTTTCGGTGGTCAAAAACTTGTGATCCCTTGGGTTACTGAAATCCAGAATCATTACCCAGCTAACAGGAAACGTTACTACAACGTTGTCACAACGTCGTGTTTCGGTAAGTTGCGAAATTACGTTTTAATTACGTTGTAGCAACGTTCTGAACGTTGTGAAGCCATGGTTTGGTCCGAAAGTCGTGGTAAAACGTCGTGAAAACGTTTTATTGGTACGTTGCAGCAACCGCGCACTTGCAGCATTATATTTTGATAATGCATGGTGACATATATGGCCATATAATGCATTTCCTTTGACTTTCAATGCGCATATTCAGTTTTCATCGTTAAATTTGACATATTTTAACACTTGGACTGTTCACGTTGTCAGCTGGTGATCGCCAACACGTTAAAACGGTTTTTCACAACCTTGACATTATAGGTACTGAATAATTAGCAGTGTTTTTACAAGTAAATTCTGATACCTTTCTCTCTCTATCTCTCTCTCTAATATATATATATATATATATATATATATATATATATATATATATATATATATATATATAACATGTGTAAATTGCAAAGCATCATTGGCATGTTTTGCAACATCACAGGCGGAGCTAGAGGCTTGCAACTATCCCTATGTAAACGCGGCTGTTATCCGCGGCTGCCAGCAAGCCACGCGGGCCGCCACTCAGGCGAACGGTGGCTCGCGCCCTGACCTCGCCTGAGGGGCCGTGACGTCAGTGTCACCGGCCGGCGTTCAGAGCCAGCCGGCCGAGCCGCAGTCTACGCGGCGCGAGCGAGCAGTGAGGGCCGGCGGCGGGCGCGGCTGAGATAGCTGGAAGATGAAAGATAGCGCCAGTTGTCTGCGTTTGATGCGATTGTTGCTTTGACTGGTAAGTCAAAGTACCATTTACGAGTAGCATTTGCAAGATTGTGCCTTGTAATATCGTGCGGTCTAGGCTATAGTTCATTGTAGCTCTAGCCTCTAAGGTGTTGACATGTTTGATCTAGCCTGTCGCACTGTTACGGAAAGTGGTGCAGGTATTTTTGTAATTTTTTCATTAATTGAATGTCTGATTTTCCCTCATGTCTTCCCGCAGACGTCCTGCAACTCGTCAGCGCGCCTTGTGGCAGGCCTACTGTCGGCAATGCGGTAGCGAAGTGGCTGTCCGGAAGCTGCGACCGGAACGGGGGGTGCGCAGACCGTCTAGTCAGGCACTGCCAGCTGCCTAGGGACATCGAGGCCGCAAATGAGCCGGTGCCTAACGGTCCGCCGAGTGATCCTCCCAGCGAGGGTTAGTGAAGAAGTGAACTTCCACCAGTTCTGGCGTGCTAGCGGCTAGCGCCAGAGCCGGTAGAACCCAATTCCGTCCCACGCCCCCATGGGGGCGCCCCTGGGCCCCATGCCCCATCACTGATGCCGCCGCCGTCGTTTTTTTTTTGTAAATTGACCTGTATGATGTATTGAAATATACACTTCTTACATGCCTTTTTTACAAGTCTAGAAAACGGGAAGAGAGCGTCGGAAACACATTCTGAGTATGTTGCGAACACGTTGAGAGGGCGTTGCGAAAATGTTTAGGACGTTTACTCAGGGTCGCAGGGACGGCAATACGAAGTAGCGACAACGTGGTGCGCACGTGATAAAAACGTCGCAGAGACGTTGCCAAAGCGTTCTATACTCCTTGTAGTCACGCTGCGGAAACGTGGTGACAACGTTCCAGAAACACTATTGGTACGTTACAGAAAACATTTCATAACGTTGGCGGGACGTTGTAAGAACAGTTTTGGGACGTCACGGCCACGTTACAGAAACGTTGTGATGACATTCAAATGCATGGTCGGATGACGTTGTCACGCCGTTGCCTGGAGTCTACAAAATTACGTTGTCACAACGATAAATCGGGACGTTGTGGTAACCATTTGACAACGTTTAAACGACGTTGTAACAACGGCAAATTGTTAGCTGGGTAGGAGCAAAATCGGTGTTAGGTCCAATGATTTTTCCTCGCATAAAAAGGACGGTCAACGATATTTATCAGATTAAGTTTGCGATGATATGCAAACTGATGCATATGATAAAAGTGTGAGAAATATTTGAAATTTGAGGAAACAATGTGCGAAGCGTTTGCCCCGCAGAGCTCAATGCCAGGAGCGGATCCATAAATTTTTGGTAAGTGTTGCTTCTGCTAGGGCACATCGAAATGGGGGCGACCTAGCAACCCGGGGGTGGGTGGGGGGCAGGCTTATATAATAGCATTCGAAGGGGCTCCACAACGCACCAAGCACCAGGTGAGGACCAGTGGTGTTTGTTTTGTTATGTTTGTTTCCTTGACATTGCAATGGGGAATGGTGAGGAAGGAGCATAGGAATACTTGGTAATCCAGCGACGTGGAATTGAGCCATAAGTGTTTCTTTTTCGTGTCCCTTGACCCTTGTTTCCATTCATATTTCATTCATTCCATTCACCTATGCGTGTTTCCATCCGGACTCCGGTCTCGTATGGTGGAAATCAGCTACTCTAACCCAGAATATGTAGAACGATCGCCTTGGAACACACCAGTTACTTGTTTATTCATTTGACGTTTTGTAAAATATAGAAAAACTGAGTTTTTAAATTTGAAAAAGAAATTCAAATTAAGTTATATAACATATAGAACTTGTCAGACCCTCGAAAAATATAGTAATTCTTGATAACACAAAGAATGAGGAAGCTTGTACGGAGATGCGGCGTTGCCAAAGCTACGATCTAAGGAAGCGTTTGATGGACTAATGAAATTATGAACAATGAGTGGAGCTGACTTGGTACATTTAAAATGTTATATTTTACATATTTTATTCTTTATATAGTTAAAAACTTTGGCCATTTGTTTCTTTTGTGTGCTGATGTTGAATGCCTTCAAAATGCAAGGGCCGTGCAGTTCATAGCCGACAATTCCTTTAAAATTGGACACTAATTTGTAAAAGGGAGTTTTTGTAGCTTTCATGCAATATCCAGTGTTTGGAGTGTGTTGGGTAAGAAAAATAATATTTATATACAAGGGAGCTACGGAATTGTAGAAGTGACATTTCCGGATACCCTAGACGGTGCTGCCATCTTGGAGGGAGCGGCGTCGGGCGGCCATGTCTGTTGCCGTCGGGACGCCTCGGCGTCGGCGGTGAGTACAATGTTGGAGGTGTAAATCACGCAGTGTGTTGTATTTTGTCATAACAAATGTCTGAAGGTGCTGTTTTGTGCGTGGACTCGGCCAACAGCGCGTTACTGCTTGAAGTCCAATGGTTTCCGTAATGGCGGATGTGAATTATTGGCGCCGGTTGAACAGCTGGCAAGTTTTGTGGATGAGTCACCGTTTGGGTGTGGTAGATCACTAGGTGTTTGCTAGAATGCCAAGTAATGCATGCCTTTGTTTGATGTCCTAATAATCAGTCATTATTGTGGCATTGGTTTTGTGGAATTCATTTTCTATTAATTAATAATTTTGATTTTATTTACATTTATTTGTGAGTTACATCCTTACTTTTTTAATTTTCATTGAAATTGGATTTAATATCATCTATTCCATCTCAGTTCATTATTTTTTTTATGCATTATTTTGATTTTACATATTTTTACAGATTGTTTTCTATTATTTCTTTTAAGATATGGTAATTAGGGCAATATGCAGGAGTAGTTTGAAGCTCTGGACTGTATTGGATTTATGCTTCTGATGAGTTAGGGCGCTGTATCAGTTGGGCAAACTAGACTTTTGGAATCAAAATATGGAGGCATCAATAATTTGATTCTGGTGGGAGGAGCCATGACCAAATATGGGCATGGAATCAATTTTTTGATTCATTTGGGTACACTTTTGACTTCAAATGTATCGTTACGGCTGAAAAAAGGCCCATGACGGTGAGATTTTTCTTTAAAAAGGTAGAAAAATGTGGTAGGTTTCCAAAAAGTGTTACCTCAAAACTAAGAAATTGTCCCTTTGGCCTTGTGAATGGGAAAAAGACAGAGCCACTGTCCATCACGTAAAAGCTGTTTTGTGGAAATCACACTGTATGTTATTTTTTTATCATGAATCGCATACTAAAGAATCAGTATTTGTGTAAAATGGCAAAATGAAATTTTCAAACCCCTAATTATCATTGTCGTAGTGCTTTTATATTTATTATATGGTTTTACCTGTTGCTTCAGTTTTTGTATTCTTGACATTTAAAAATTGTGAATTGTTATCAAATGTAAAGAAGGTTAAGTACAACAATGCTATAGGTATCTGTTGCGGTGCTGAAGATACCACTAAATGAGAATAATTGCAAGATAAATGATGTATTGCTGCAAGTCATTGTTGCCTATCTCTTAACATTACCTGTGAATCAAAATAATGATTAGCCAGCTGATGGGGAATCAATATTATGATTATCTGTTAAAGTGAATCAATTCCTTGATTGCCTTTCACTACCTATAGAATTCAAATTGTTTTGATAGGAGCAATATTATTTTGCTTAGGAGATAGTTCCAGCATTTCTGTTCAAGATCAGGCATGCTCCTTCTTGAAACACTCTCTTATTTTTATGTGATTGGTATGTTAGAAATGGTCTGCATTTATGCCCAAATATGGTCATAAGGAATCAATCTTTTGATGCCTCCATATTTTGATTCCAAAGGTCTAGTTCGCCCAACTGGTATTAAATGTTGAAATAGCAGTCAAAGGCTAATTAAAAAATCAATTTGATCTAATAATAATATTGTTAAATCACTGACTGACTGATTGATACTGGACCATTTGAAAATTGAAAGGTATTTAAGGTGCTTTGAAGTTGAAGCTCATTCCATTCTTTGGCCAAATTTACACAAAATTGTTAGATTTCTGTCATGTTTTTATCAATTCTTATCTATGAATAGTATTCTGAACACTGCTTTATCATTCAGAATGACATTGGTGTTGATCATCAGTTTGGGCACTTACCTTATGGTGAATAGGACTTGACCAAACCTGACCATACATCTCCATTAATGTATGTTTTTAAATGGCTACCTGTGTAACCACCAGCTTTGTTCTCAGGTACATTGTCTCAGTGATGACTGGGTGAAGCTGCCATGAATGATCCACCTGATATACTCTCAAGGCGGGGGCTGCCCCCAACCTCAGCAGCCACTTCGTCAGGAGGACAACACTTTGTAATTAGCAGTCCAATGCAGCAAGGTACACTCTCACAAGTAAGTCTTTTGGGGTCTATTGAGTGTTATGGGATATTTGGGAACAATGTTGTTTGGCAATGGTATGCAAGATGGAATGGTTTCATAATCCATTCACATTGATTGCATACTGCATTCTGGCTAAAATGTTCTGTGTGTAACAGAATGCAGGTTAACCAGAATTTTATCCTTTACCATGAACTTTCAGCACAAGAGTATCCAAATTGCCTGCCAAGCAGACTGGCTTTTTTTTTGCCTAGTCTGATTGTTTTCTGCCTGAGTAGATCATAGTTAAGTTTGTTTGGTGTCATGATTACAGGGTGTCTCAAAAAATAATGTCACACCTTTCCAGCATCCATTGCATGAAAATAACAAACATGAGGGCTGCACTTTTCTTACATATGTATTATGTATCCCCACTTTTCACTGGTACAAAAAAGAATATGGTCCAGCACGCCAGACATCAACTTGTCCAGCTTCTGTTGACTGATCTTGGACCAGGCAGGCCGAGTGTTGCTGGTCAGCGTGCCGTCGGATGTTCCCCTGCCATTTTGTTCACCTCTTACCGGACGATCGCCCAGAGATTTTCTATCGGCGACGGGTTGGGGCTATTCCCCGGCATTTTGTCCTCCCAGGATGCTGGGAAGTACAATCGACATTGATCCTGCGTCGTTCTAGCTCAATAAGCCGGGGCGCCGTCCTGTTGAAAGATGGCTCTGGACATGTTCAATAGAAGTTTTCGGCTGGAGACGTGGTTTGGTGGGCTTCAGGTTTAGAGACAACCTCAGGTATCGATAAATTGTTGACTTGGATATTGGGTGACCGTTGGCAGTCAACCTTCTGGCCAGTTTTCTTGTGGATTGGTCCGACTTAACCCGCGCCCCACTGGGGTCTGTGTATAACACGCCCTACTGGGGGGGGGGGGGGGGGGGCTTTTCATAGCCCCCCCTCCTAACTCCGAAACTACTGGGCCGATCGTCAAAATTCGAACGGCGTCTGATAGCCCCGGAAAAACTGTCGAGCGAAACCTAATATCATTGACCTCGAGGTCACCGATGACGTCACAGGTCAGGTCAAAGTAAAAATTATTAGCACTTTGGCTTGTTCACATTTTGGGCTCTGGCCGCCGTCTTACAAGTCAGATCAGGCTCATTTTTGGTTTCCACACTCGTGAACAGATGCTCTAGATACCTTGAGGGTACCAAACTTGTACTTTGATTTTCAGGTCAGGGTCAGGTCATCACAGGTCACGAAAATATTGTATCATGCGTCGGTCACGTGACACATGTTTTATGGTCCATTTAGGCCATAGATTTCGAATTTGATGTCGTCTGTGTCATTCAAGGTCATTTTGAGTCGAAATTAGCTTAGGTCAGGTCACTTTCAGGTCAAAAAAGGTCAAATTTTGAAGTTGAAATTTTTCAACAAAAAAGGTGTCTATTGGATGCAGTTTGAGCTCAGGAACACGATGGTGCCATTTATATTGGTGTACGATGCCAAATACGTACTGAAAAATTGATTTGAAAAATTAATAATTGTGAATTTTTTGCAATAATGCGTATAACTTGGCCATTTTTGAAGATATTTAGCTAAAACTTGCTAGAGTTAGTCATAATCATGCGTTCTGTCATATATATTCCGGTTTTTTCGAAAAGTCAAAAACTTTTTGAAAAAAATATAAAAATATAAATTTTGAATATTATTATATAAAATTTTCGCAATTTTCAAAATTTTGAAAATCCGAGATAGCAGTTTGATAGCGCGGTCAATTCTAAGTCCTTTCATGCAAAGAAATTGGATCTAGCTTAAAAACTGAGCTCTTGGGAGCGATTGCCGTGGTTCAATGTTTTGCGTCGAAATCGGACGAACATGACGTCACTCTGACGTCATTTCCGGCCGACCTATGGTAGCTACGAAGTTCAAATTTTGACACAAAGTGTCAAATTGATGCAGCCGAAGGTACTGAAAGTTTGGCGTTGATTCGTCAAGCGGTTTGGAAGTTATTGCAGAAAAACGGGAGGGGGGGCTATAAATAGCCCCCCCCCCAGTGGGGCGCGGGTTAAGCACCGCGCTTCGCGATGACGATTTGCGCTACCCGGCTGACGAATTTCTTCCTGTCGCGACCCAGCTTGCTCTCAAGCGTCTATCCGCCTCCGTCGCGTGGCAACCAGCGCCGAATCATGCGGCAGCTCATGCCCATTGCCTCTGCGACCTGGCCGTGGGTCATCCCGCCGGCAACCATGCCTACTGCACTGCTGCGGGTCGATTTGCTCTGCTGCTTTGCCGTCCTGGGCCCTGTTTCACCGGTGATAGCAGCACGCTGCTATCACACGTGTCAAATTGGGTTTCCATGGAGACATCGACAAACCATGGCGTTGTCAAACTGTGTGATGTCATCAAATATTGCTGCTAACATCTTCACGGCCGTGCGAACAAATCAAACGCATTCAACGACACTGCAACTCTGTTCCAAACTTAGTTGAAAAAGCTCACGGATTACACGAAACGTCACTACTGTGGCGTCACCACATTACGTCAGCTCGCACAATTTGATAGTAGCGTGCTGCTATCACCGGTGAAACAGGGCCCTGGACACCTGGTACGCGCGCGCCGGGCACTGCCCGGGAAAAGACCTCCTTTCACCCCCTGCTCGGTCAGGATCACATAAATTCGAAGGTCACGTGACTAGAATGTAACCAATATGGTCAGGGAAGCGGTACCGGCGAAATGATATTGACATTGCGCCGTAGGAGGCAAAAAAAAAAAAAAAAAACGGCCCCGCTGGGGTCCTGGATTTGTATGCCTTGCTGGGGGGAGGATGATTGAACACCCCCTCCTAACGCTGCTCCTGGACCACATAGCGATACGCAGTAAGCGGCGTTCATAAGAGCGTCTAAAATAATGAAGAAATAGTTTGTTACTTTTTAGATCTGACCAGGTGACCAGAGGTCACCAAAGGTAAAGTTACACCATTTTCCAGGACAAACTTTGATAACTTTCAACAAACCGGGACATAGTTCAGGAAGCAGTGGCGCAGCCAGGATTTTGTTTCGGGGGGGGGGGGGTCATCGCCTCCAAAGCGGGCCCCCTAGTGTGCGGGCCCCCACCCATTTTTCAGAATCTCTCCATATTTCATACACATTCTGCTGAGCGGGCCCCCTTTACCTGCACGATAACCCTGAGCGAGTTTGAATAAGAAAATGTGGATAGAACAATAGCTCGGCAATCACCCGGTGTTCAATCTTTACGCAAATTGACCACGACAGAAATATGTTACTATGACGTAAGAATTCGTATCTTTCGAGGCCGAAATGTGCCCCTTCCGCAATATGCATAGCATACCTATATGCAATCGGAACTGTTGCCTGCTTCTGTCGGACAAGATACTAGTTCCATGTGCCTGTCTTAAGTCACCTATTGGTTGCTGTAGTAGATTGTGCCCTTATTCTTCTTCATTACGTGAATTCGCTCACAAGAAGTTTTAACCCTCGCCGGCACAGGGGGGATGGGGTTGATGCAACCCCCTAAAGTTTTTTTCGCGAATTACTCGCGTAAAAAGCGGCTGATCGCAACATAACTTCTAGTACCCTCGCGTTGATCAATTTTACACCTATCCTAGAATTTTCATGACCCTGGCCCAAATGAACTTTGACCTTCTTTCCGAGACCATGTTTGGCCAGAATCGCGGTTCGGCGTATGCCGGCTCGCATTAGCGGCGCGTTTGCAGTCCTTTCGTGGTTTCAAGCGTTCAAACATGTGATTTGATGTTGCTCCCATGCATAAGGGTGGATGTCTATGTCACCTGAAGGTCAGATCAGGTCATTGACCTATGAGGACCCCAGTACACTTTTCAAGCTATGCATGTTTCTAGGCTAGTTTTTGTTAGCTGAATTCGAATTTAGCAGCCATTTGAACATTCAAGAGGTAGTTTTGGTGCCTTCGTAACATGTTACGAAGCTGTCAGAGGCGGTTGACACGTATGCACTACGAATACCCGTCACGATCCCTACTGGTTGACCTGACCTTACCTGACCTGACCCGACCTCGCCTAAATGTATAAAGACATCATCTGTGATCAAAGCTAACATAATTTGTTCATGACTTACTTAATTACACGGGTTTTGCTGCATAACCTGGTACGTTTGACTATTGAAAATGGCATAGTTGAAAAGAGCATACAATTTTGTCCAAGATCCAATCATCGCTTTTGCATGACGAGCAACAATATTCTTAAAAATATAAATGTTTCAAACCTCTACATAGTAATTCATCGATGGCCTTCATTTTTCAATAGGTAACTTTACGACTACGTCCTTAATAAATTACGTCCTTAACCTATGTTATAAAATACACTTGGCATGTTCTATAGAAGAACGCATGGTTATCAGACACGAGCACCTCGATGCGATGGATATTTTTCCCAAACCAAAATACTTAGCCGTCAAAAGGCAATCGACCGAAACGGATACATAACCCACGGAGTACGGACACAATAGCAGCCAAACGCCCACCGATCGAAAATACCCCTTATTCGCGTTGCGGAGCAAGCGGGTCACCCTAGCGGGCCCCATTTACCCGAGGGCCCGGGCCCTATCCACACGGGGGCCCGGACCACGTCCACCCGAGGCTCCGGGGCCCGTCCACCCGGGGCTCCGGGGTCCGTTCACCAGGGGGCCCGAGCCCGATCCACCCGGGGTCCGGGCCCAGTCCACCCAGGGCTCGGGGTCCGTTCTGCCGGGGCCCGGACCCCATCCACCCGGGGGCTCGGGCGTGGGCCCGTTCTCCTGGGGGCCCGGGCCCGTTCTCCCGGGGGCCCGGGCCCGTTCTCTCGGGGGCCCGGGCCCGTTCTCCCGGGGGCCGGGCCCGTTCTCCCGGGGGCCGGGCCCGTTCTCCCGGGGGCCGGGCCCGTTCTCCCGGGGGCCCGGGCCCATCCACCGGGGGTCCCGAGCCCCATCCACCTGGGGGCCCGGACCCGTTCTCCCGGGGGTCCGGGCCCCGTCCACCCGGGGCTCGGGGCCCGTTCTCCCGGGGACCCGGACCCATCCACCGGGGGGCCCGGACACCATCCATCGGGGGCCCGGGTCCCATCCACCCAGGGGGCCCGGGCCCGTTCTCCCGGGGGCCCGTGGTGTCCCAGTAGGTATTTCTCGAAGTGGGCTCGTCCGATTAGATTAGGACATCCTCTCTCTCTCTCTCTCTCTCTCTCTCTCTCTCTCTCTCTCTCTCTCTCTCTCTCTCTCTCTCTCTCTCTCTCTCTCTCTCTCTCTCTCTCTCTCTCTCTCTCTCTCTCTCTCTCTCTCTCTCTCTCTCTCTCTCTCTCTCTCTCTCTCTCTCTCTCTCTCTCTCTCTCTCTCTCTCTCTCTCTCTCTCTCTCTCTCTCTCTCTCTCTCTCTCTCTCTCTCTCTCTCTCTCTCTCTCTCTCTCTCTCTCTCTCTCTCTCTCTCTCTCTCTCTCTCTCTCTCTCTCTCTCTCTCTCTCTCTCTCTCTCTCTCTCTCTCTCTCTCTCTCTCTCTCTCTCTCTCTCTCTCTCTCTCTCTCGAGCGGGCCCCTGACAGAAATTTCGGGGGGGTCAGCTGACCCTCTGACCCCCCCTGGCTGCGCCACTGTCAGGAAGGGATAGAGCTACAGCGCCGCGGAAAAGCGCATTCGATAGCTCTTTTAACGTTCTTTCTTAGTAATTTTTCATATTTGCCCCAAGTTCAACGGTTCAGTCTGCAGGCAAAAACCACTGAAATAGACGTTTGTTCGCGTGAGCAGAGTTTACATCAGGCCAAGGTCATAACCTGACCGGAAATTGTCGTGTTGCATAGCAGTTGATCTGTATCGTCGAGCCGAACACTGGAACACAGATGAGGCGTTTTCATCACGTTAGCATGCCTCTGTCAAAAGTTATTAATGAAAAACTGTTTGATACTATTTATAACCTGAAATGACCTCAGGGACATAACAATGGGTCCGTGGGTGCCATTTTTCCAGTTAAATGTGTCTTATTTGGTGTTTGAAAGTGCTTAGAATGATGTCCAAAAGAGGTGCCTTTTAATTTGCTTCCGTTGACTTCAAATGGAGAGGTCGCAAGATTGACCTGACCTTAGGTCACCGATATCAAAATCCGAGATAGACATTTTGTACATACTGTCGCTCTTTTCAATTGCTGAAGGCGCTCGGCGCCGATAACTCATCCACCGACACTGGGGTACGCGCAGTGGAAAATCTGTTTTTCATCCCGTGTTAGAACTGCGACACCGAATCACACGTTGACCTGAGGCCAACTTTTAAAGTTTACTTTTCTAGGTCAGAATATGAATTCAAATATTTTCTTTGCGATGTAGCAGTACAAGTTCTTGAGCCAATTTTGTCATGAAAGTCACATAAGGGGAAAATTAGATTTATGGTCATTTCTAATTTTTACAACTTGTGGTCTTTTGACTAACTTTGCGTTAAAATGCCCGCAGTGTGTTTCCTCGGGTTTCTGACGAAAGAAACCGTTCCCCTCCGCCTCCATGTGTTATGATAGGACCACTGCCCTGAGCGGGTAAGTTGTCCTGCCTCTAAAAAGAGATGATCGTTATCAACACAACTGGATTGCCAAGGGCAATGTTGTGCTTTTGCTGGACTCTTAATTTGCTTAAATGTTGAATATCTGGGTAGATATGACTATCTAATGACCTCTCCATGGCCCACCAAACTCTGAGTTTGACTGCTGTTGGCAGTTATTGTGAAATCACCTGGCCTTGGACGACGACGGTGAAAGTCGAGATGTCTGGGGTGTCGCACTGTTTCCATAATCCCCCCCCCCCCCTCCTTCCTGGTCAAGAGGCTTTTTACTAAGCTGTAAGTCCTTTCCAGTCAAGTGATGAAAAAATTGAAATATTCTCTTTGCCACTACTTCTCTCTTAACCCGCGCCCTGCTGGGGGGGGGGGGGGGTGTTTGAACACCCCCCTTGTGGTTTTTCGCGAATATCTCAAAAACGGCGGCGCGGAGCGCCGCCGTTTTTGGTACACCTTATCATACATCAATTCTACACATGTGAAAATTTCAGACCAAGGTCATTCAAGGTCAGGTCACCAGGTCACTTGGACCTCACCTCATAAAAAGTTTCAATGTCTGTCATAGCTACACCGAGTGACCGATCGCTTTGAAACTTTCAGCGATTGATAAGGGTAACAGTATCTATAAAATGTATATCTCGGAATTTTGATATCGGTGACCTAAGGTCAGGTCAATTTTGCGACCTCCCCATTATAAGTCAATGGGAGAAAATTGAAATGCGCCTCTTTTGGACGAAAGACATTATAAACACTTCCAAACACTGAATTACAAGTAGTTTAGACACACTGAACATGAAAATGGTGTCCGTGACCCTTGTTTATGCCCTGAGGTCATCTTAGGTCACGAATGGTATCTAACAGTTTTTCGCAAATAACTTTTGATAGAGGCATGCTAGAGCGATGAAAACGCCTTAGATGTGTTCAGCTCGACGATACGGATCGACTGATATGCAACATGACCCTTTCCGGTCAGGTCATGACCTTGACCTGAGGTCAAATTTTCAAGTTGACCTTTCAAGGTCAAGTTATAGTTCATTCGATGCGTCTTGACGAGAGGAACACGATGACGGTAAAAGTAAGCTCGTACAAGGCTTGGGTCAAAAGTTATTGCCGAAAAACGGTTTCCGAAAAATCGGCTATTTTTGCAGTTTTTGCCCCCTGCAGGCAAAACCGTTGACGTTAGGTCAAATCTGAGAGAATTACTCAGAAAGGGCGTTAATAGGGCTATCGAATGCGCTTTTCCGCGGCGCTGTAGCTCTATTGGTTCCCGAGTTATGCGTTGGCTTCTTGGAAATTTTCGACATTCGACCTGGAAATCGGCGAAATTTTGCCTTCAATGACCTCTGGTGACCTGGCCGTTGACCTGACCAAAAAATTGACCGAAGTGATTTCGTCATTATTTTTGACGCTCTTTCGAACGCCGCCTTCCGCGTATCGCTACGTGGCCCAGGAGCCGAGTTACAAGGGGGGGTGTTCAAACACCCCCCCCCCCCCCCAGCAGGGCGTGGAAATCCAGGACCCCCAGCCGGGCGCGGGTTAATGTGCTCGGGAAGCATGAAGGACGTGAACACTAAACATGGTGGTGCTGTAGCGTTCAGTTAGCTTATTGTCAACTTTTGACATAAAGTTAACCTGACAGTGGTACAGTTAGCACTGCCGATGCTTGTGAACATCGAACATCATTGGAGGATTGTTTGAGGCTAGAGGATAGAGGCAGAAACTTAATGTACAAGACATAGCGAAAATGCGTCGTTCATCGCAATAAAACACCGTCTATTGGCTCGAACAGTGAACGGAGGATAAAAAATCGAAGGTCTCTGACCTCACGCCACCTGGTGTTAGGCATCGCCCGCAGCCGCGCTCCACCGCTGGAGACTGCAACGCCTGACACCTTCGATATGGACAAATTCTGACAAATTCTGATGCTCTGCGCGACGTGAAGATGCCATAATGAGGCTAAAATTTTATTGGTAACATTTTCTCACCAATATTCATAATATGCGGGGTTCTGCGTTATAATCTGAAAACATTTTTTTTTACTCACCCTTCTCACTATAACTGCACGTCTTTTAGCTTGTGAAAATGTCAGACAGTCTCTCAAGGTTGGGTCACCAGGTCACGTCAGCGTCCACCTCAGAAAAAGTTTTGATGCTTGGCGTATCTACACCGAGTGACTGATTGCTTTGAACTTTCAACAGTTGATATGGGCAACAGTATGTATAAAATGTATATCTCATTTTTGATATCAGTGACACAAGGTCAGGTCAATTTTGCACTCTGCATTTTAAGTAAATGGGAAAAATTGAAAGGCGCTTCTGTGAGACGAAGATCATTTTAAACACTCTTAACACCGAGTTACAAGTAAACATAACACAGTGAACTGGAAAATAGCACCCATCACATGATCCCTCCTTATGTCCTTGAGGTCATCTCGGGCCACGAAAGGTATCCAACAATTTTTCGCTAATAACTTTTGATAGAGGCATGCTAGAACAATGAAACACCCTAGGGCGATACGGGTCGACTGATATGTAACATAGCCTTTTCCGGTCATGTCATGAGTCTATGACCCTGACCTGAGGTAAAATTGTCAGGTCGAACTGTTAAGGTAAAAGTACAGTTTATTCGACGCGTCTCGACGAGAGGAAAACGATGCCGTTGCCGGTAAAAGCACAAAACTTTATTATAATTTTGCAATATTTGCAAAATTCTTAATTCTTGTGCAAAATTCTTGTACAAGTTTTGAGTCAAAAGTTATTGTGGAAAAATGGTTTCCAAAAACCGCCTATTTTGGCAGTTTTTGCCCCATGCAGGCTAAGCTGTTGGTCTTAGCTCAAATCTAAGAGAGTAGCCCAGAAAGAGCGATGAAAGGGCTAAGAATCGCGCTTTTCTGCGGTGTTGTACTTCTTACTTTCTGAGTTATGCGCCGGTCAGTCGAAAATTGTGGAAATAGACGACATTTGAGCTTCGATGATATCTAGTGACCTAACCTGTGACCTGACCTCAAAAATGGTGAGAGCAATTTCGTCAATATTTTTTACGCTCTTTCGGACGCCGCCTACCGCGCGTCACTACCCAGCCAAGGAGCCGAGTTGGAATAGGGCGTTCAAACATCCCCCAGCAGGGGATGGCAAAATTCTAATAAATGTTGTCGTTGCTCATGTGTCTAGTTCGCGATGTCCTGTCGCCATGCGGCGCCAGCGCCACTGACCCGTGTCGGTGTTGTTCCGCAGTCGTCTGCCGGCGGTGTGCTACACCGCGGCGCGCCGACCGCCGGCGGCTCCGGCCGGCTGGTGGCGCGCTCGCCGGCGAGTCTGGCGCGGCCGGCAGCCGTCACCGGCGTGCCCGCCACGCTCTACGGCACGCCCAGCAAGCTGGCGGCGCGCACCAGCCCACAGCAGCCGCGCAAAAAGATCAAACTGGAGGAGCGGCTCTCCAGCACGGACGAGGTGACGCTGAAGCGGCAGAACGTGCTGGACTACAAGCTGGACCGGGCGGCCAAGCTCCGCGAGCAGTACGACGATCTGACGGCGGAGCTGTACTACCTGGAGGACGGTGGCAGCCTGATGGACTTCCCCGGCTGGCTGAAGCGGCCGCCGCTGCAGTTCCTCAACTACAAGAAGCGCATGCTGCTCGACTCTGAGGACGAGGAGGACGCTGCCGAGGTGAAGGTGCCGGCCAGCGGCGGCACGCCCGTGGCCGTGTCCAGCACCCTGCCCAGCTCCATCTCCAAACTGGCCCACATCAAAGGTAAACGGTCCGACCCGGACCGGGCCTCGCTCCCTCACCTGCATGCATGGCTGCTTACCGTCACTGCATTGGTTACGGTACTCGTTCGGTGTGGCTGACATCAGGCTGCTGTACATAGCGGTGACATACCGTGTGATCGACGATAATTATTTATGGTCATTCAAGGACTAAACATTGCCTTAGCAGTTTGAAGTGTTTTGACTATTGGGTGTACACGTTTTCCCTTAAAATATGTCAGTTTTTCCCCACCCTTATGGCTGAATACTGAACATTTAGGTTATGTGCTGCTTTTGCTTTATCTTTCATAGGAAAGCAGCTTGGTGGAAGGCATGGGATGGTGTTTGGAAATCACCAGTCTCCTGTCTCTAAAGACAAGACCAATACCAATGCTTTAGCTGCAGGTATGCCCTACATAATCCCTGCAGTAGTGTGCATGCTTGAATGCAAATACAGCCTCAAATGCTTTGCTTTTAGGTAAGTTTGGCAAACTATTTTTCCACATTTCGCACATATTTTGCCAGCTTGTTTTCGTTCGCTACAGCTTGAATGAATGCATGCTACGCTCAATGGTGTTTTGAAGTGCAGTATTTAGTGTTTTGTTTTTGTTTTAGATGGTTAAACTTCAATTGGTGTTATTTTGAATTAGCAAGATCCCAATGAACAAGCCATGGTATCGTAATGTTATTGCTGTGGTTCAATAACTGGGGTAAATGAACGGCCTTTGTAAAAACCCATCTTTCCCGTCATCGTTGGGGACTGGTGGATCCTGACACTGGCCATATGCCGTGCCGTGTCCGGGCGGGAGCGCCGCTCAGTGCGTGCCCGCGCACCTCTAGTGACCCGCTAGTGACGTGGCCGCCCGGTCGTGTGTGTGCGTGTGCGCGTGCTACGCAGGCGGCGCGGCGACACCGGTGGCGCCCCGCGGCCCCGGCCGGCCGGCTGGCTCCGGACTGGGCTCGTCGCACGATGCCGCCGGCACTGAGCACATGGTGGAGAAGGCCAAACAGGTGCGGTCACAGCCGGCGCGCGCGCGGATGACACCACTTTCGGCGCTCTCTGCCGCGCCACGGCGGCAGGCGGCGGTTCAGTATTCCGATGGGTCGAGTTAGTAATGCGGGCCTTTTTGCTTTCGGTGCAACGAGTTGACTTGATTGATAGTCTATAATTGCTTGTTAGCGTTGCAAGTTGATGGGTTTGGCCGATTTCATTAACTGTATTTGGTCACTCATATTCTCATCTTTTCACCGATGACTTTGTTTCAATCGTATGATGTGGATGCGCCTGTTGTCTGCAGGAGGCGCAAGTGATGCAGCGCATCAGCGACCTGAGGAAGCAGGGCCTGTGGTCCGAGAAGCGACTGCCCAAGGTGGCCGAGCCGAAACGCATCAAGGCACACTGGGACTACTTGCTCGAGGAGATGCAGTGGCTGGCGGCTGACTTCGCGCAGGAGCGCAAGTGGAAGAAGGCGGCTGCCAGAAAGTGCGCGCGGATGGTACAAAAGTACCACCAAGACAAGGCGGCGGCGGCGGAGAAGGCCGTCAAGGACCAGGAGCGCGACCTGCGGCGCGTGGCCGCGTTCGTGGCGCGTGAGATCAGGACGTTCTGGGCGAACGCGGAGAAACTGGTCGAGTTCAAGATAACGGCTCGTCTGGACGAGAAGCGGAAGAAGGCGCTCGACCAGCACCTGAACTTCATCGTGGACCAGACGGAGAAGTACAGCGAGAAGCTGCAGGAGGCGCTGCAGCAGAACAGCAGCCAGCCGAGCCGGGCGTCCTCGTCGTGCGGCCAGCCCAGCTCGCGGCTCCACTCCGATGGTGAGTGCCGGGGTGGCTCCGGGTCACAGCGAGCAGCCTGTTGCGCTAAGATATGTCGCTAAGCCTCGTACATCATTCTGTTATATTCATGGTCTGTTTCATTACTGCAACTGGATGTTTCCATGAGCTTAGGTCAGACTTCAGATTTTGTCCCAAAGAACAAGCCATGGCATCGGTCAATCTGTGCTGTGGTTACACAACTTGGGTAAATGAACGGCCTTTGTAAAAACCCACCTTTTCCCGCTGTTAGTCGGGACTGGTGGATCCTGACACTGGCAACAAAACATAGTTTTTGTCCTTCAAATGGTGATGTGAATTCGCATGATAGCCTTCATCAAGTGACGACCATCTTAAATATGTCACCGCAAACTTCTCCGTGTCTCCGTGCCTTCTCTCTGTCGAATACGCCTTGTGCATCCCTTTGGGTTTGAGGTCGGCATGGAGTTTGTACCCTGAAGCGTTAATCTGACTGCTCATTTGTCATTCAGGCGAGTTTGAGCCGGACTCCGGGTCTGAGGACGACGAGGAGACGATCGCGCGAGCCGAGCGAGACGTGCAGCAGCACGACACGACGGCCGAGGTCAGCGCGCTGCAGAAGGAGTCCGAGATGTCGCTGGACGACGTGCTGGACCAGCTGCCGCCCGGCTACCTGGAGAACCGACATCGAGACGTCCCGGACGCCGACAAGGTGGGATATTAGTGGGACGAGTGTCCTCACTTCCCAATGAACAAGCCATGGTGGCGTCCCCTGGTCGCCGTGGTCACAATGTTGGGAACAGAAAAGACCATTGGTTAAAACCCACTTTGCTGACTATTGGCTCAGTCTAGTGGATCCTGACTCTGGTGACAGCAGCTTCTGGAAGACTTGATTCTGGAAGGCTTGATTGCATTATATTTCTCTCGGGTACATTGGCTGAGACCGTTCGAGTTTGATGTCTGTTTTCGTAATGTAAAGTATCGGGTTTTCTGGTTAGTAGCTAGATAAGGCCGAATGCAATTAATCGGCCTACCGCGCGGCCGACCGGTCTTCAAGAACGAGAAGGAAGGTTTTATTTTCATAGACCATTTAAATGTGTTATCCAGACGTTGTTCCTCATTACAAGGTTTAAGTGTCATCTGACTGTCCGCCGGCTCGTTTCAGGACGCGTCTGCGGCGGGCTCCGATGACGACTTTGAGGCGGCCTCTGACGCGGACAGTGACGACGAGGAGACGATCGCCGAGCAGGAGGGCGCCGAGAAGCAGCAGGATCACGCCATGGAGATCAGCCAGCTGGAGGTCAGTCATAGACGCCAGCATTGTCCCGCTCTCTCACCGAGCGGCACGTGATCGAATCTGCGGCGGCTGTACCGTGACGCTGCAGAGTTGCAAACCGTGCCAGATTATATCGCCCCCTCACCAGCTGGCTCCTGTGACTTATATCGGGCGGCCTTCTAGAAGATCGGGCACATTGATGGTATCATTTTTACACCACTTAAAATCAGGCATAAAATGTCTTCAAGCCATCGCCGATTCTTATTTTTATTGCTTGTGTATCATAATCATGTCTTTTGACGCTAACTAGCGCACGCTTTTTATCCCTCAGGACGAAGGTCAAATGCCGCTGGACGAGCTTATGAAGAAGTACGGCGGTGGCGGCGCTGACGGCCCGGGCCCGTCCTCCGCCGCTGCTGCCGACTCTCGGCCCGAGTCCGAGGACGAGGAGGGCACCGCGGACGAGGACGATGACGAGCCGGAGGACGAGGACGGCGATGGTGAGGACGAGGAGGAGGAGGAGGAAGGTGACGGGGACGAGGAGACGGAGATGGAGATCGGCCTCAAGTCGCTGCTCGACGTCAATGCCAGCGACGACGGAGACGCCACCAAGGTACGGTGGAAGAGGTCGACCTCACCCGCCTCGGAACTATTGAGGTGCCCTAAAACCGCCACAGCGCTCCCAGCTGTGACGGTATCTACACCTCATAGAAAAACGGCTTGTCTCGTTTCCCGGCAACCAGCTCCTAGGTTTACGGGCAGAAAGGCTTGCTACATTTAGCTCATGTTTTACCGTTAACGCGCTTATATTTAGTAAAGCGGCTCGGCGACGGTAAAACCTGCTTGTGTGCGTCAATGCTGGTCACTTCGTAGAATGAGTCTATGTGTTTCGCTATTTCCTGAGAAGTGGTCTCGACATCTAAAATGGTCGCTGGCAATGTAAGCGGCAGGACTGTCGCCGGTTGGTATACTTCTGTACGTACCGTAATTGTGACCGTCTGTAATTCTGTTCGCAGGCGGGTCTGTCGGGCCCGGCGGAGATCACGGACGTGGCGGCTCTGGCCGAGACGTTCCAGCCCAAGGGCTACACGCTCTCGTCGACCACCGTGAAGACTCCGGTGCCTTTCCTCCTCAAACACTCGCTGCGAGAGTACCAGCACGTCGGCCTCGAGTGGCTGGTCACCATGTACGACAAGAAGCTGAACGGCATCCTGGCCGACGAGATGGGTCTCGGCAAGACGATCCAGACGATCGCGCTGCTGGCGCACCTGGCGTGCCAGCAGGGCATCTGGGGCCCGCACCTGATCGTCGTGCCCACCTCGGTCATGCTCAACTGGGAGATCGAGCTGAAGAAGTGGTGTCCCGCCTTCAAGGTGCTCACCTACTACGGCTCGCAGAAGGAGCGGCGCCAGAAGCGCACCGGCTGGACCAAGCAGAACTCGTTCCACGTCTGCATTACCTCGTACAAGCTGGTGCTGCAGGACCACGCCTCGTTCAGGAGGAAAAAGTGGAAGTACCTGATCCTCGACGAGGCGCAAAACATCAAGAACTTCAAGTCCCAGAGGTGGCAGCTGCTTCTGAACTTCCAGTCACAGAGGTGGGTGTCACTGTCAGTTATGATCGGAACGTTGATTTAGCCGTGGATTTGTAGCACGTGATCGAATCTGTGGCGACTTTTTGTCTTCGCAGAGTTGCAAACTGGCTAGATTATGTCGCCCCCTCACCAGCTGGTTCCCGTGATTTATATCGGGCGGCCTTCTAGAAGATCGGGTACATTTTTCTCCATAAATACCGCATGACTCGCTTCACACGGAGCTCATCTGTTTCGTTCAGTCTGTGTAGCAGACCGTGTACCGTGACCGTCCGCTGACCGCACGCTCCGTCCGCTGTTGCAGGCGACTGCTGCTGACCGGCACGCCGCTGCAGAACAACCTGATGGAGCTGTGGTCGCTGATGCACTTCTTGATGCCGCACGTCTTCGCCTCCCATCGCGAGTTCAAGGAGTGGTTCTCCAACCCCGTCTCCGGCATGATCGAGGGCAACACCGAGTACAACGAGAGCATCATCAAGCGACTCCACAAGGTCAGTCAATGGACTGGTGTGGGCGTCTTCCACTGGGTCATGGCATATGGATCGGAGTGAACCGGTCTGGTCATCCGAACATCGATTGGTTTTGATGGTTTTGCGCTGCAATGTTGAGGTGCCCTAAAACCGTCACAGCGCTCCCAGCTGTGATGGTATCTACACCTCATAGAAAAACGGCTTGTCTCGTTTCCCGGCAACCAGCTCCTAGGTTTACGGGCAGAAAGGCTTGCAACAGATATTTGCTATTGTCATTTTACCGATGCTCACATGGTTCCGTTTATTGGCAATTGTGAAAATTTCGCGACGATCGGCGAAAGTCACTGCAGTCCTTGCGAACGAACGTTCCTACTGGTATTTCGCCTCACCGGCTGGCTGACTGCTGACTCACGCCTCTGCAGGTGCTGCGTCCGTTCCTGCTGCGTCGGCTGAAGACCGAGGTGGAGAAGCAGCTGCCCAAGAAGTACGAGCACGCCATCATGTGCCGGCTCTCCAAGCGGCAGCGCTACCTCTACGACGAGTTCATGAGCCGAACCAAGTACGTGCTGCCTTCCTTTTTGGTGGAATATTAGGGCGCGTAGCCGGCAGGCCCAAGCGTCCAACGTGCTGCCGCAATTCCTACTTGTCATGCAGCCCCGCGGCCGCAGCCGCCTGTTGCGACGTGAATGTTCTCGACGTTTCTCTTAATCCAGACAAAATTGCCCGCAATTTATCACTCGTCTGTATCATGCTTTGCATCTTGTCTGTTTCGGATACGTAAGAACGTCATGCTATTCAGTCATGCTGACGTTTTGATCCGTCCCTTCTCAGGACGAAGGAGACGCTGGCGACGGGTAACTTTCTGAGCGTGATCAACATCCTGATGCAGCTGCGGAAGGTGTGCAACCACCCGGACATGTTCGAGCCGCGTCCCACCGTCTCTCCGTACCGGATGGAGCGGCTCGAGTTCGTCACCGCCTCGTGCGCCTGGACCGCGCTCCAGCACGACCCCTTCAAGGTTAGTCCGGCGCTGGTGGGACCTTGTCAGGAGTTGTTTGGGATTGTAGTGGTAGTCTACTTGTCTGGATTCCACCCGAAACCGGCACGTGATCGAATCTGCGTCGGTTGTACTGTGACGCCGCAGAGTTGCAAACCGTGCCATATTATATCGCCCCCTCACCAGCTGGCTCCTGTGACTTATATCGGGTGGCCTTCTAGAAGATCGGGCACACGCCTCATAGGGACTAGAATCTGGAATGTTAAATTAACCCGCGCCCGGCTGGGGGTCCTGGATTTCCACGCCCTGCTGGGGGGGGGGGGGTGTTTGAACACCCCCCCTTGTAACTCGGCTCCTGGGCCACGTAGCGATACGCGGAAGGCGGCGTTCGAAAGAGCGTCAAAAATAATGACGAAATCACTTTGGTCAATTTTTTGGTCAGGTCAAAGGTCAGGTCACCAGAGGTCATTGAAGGCAAAATTTCGCCGATTTCCAGGTCGAATGTCGAAAATTTCCAAGAAGCCAACGCATAACTCGGGAACCAATAGAGCTACAGCGCCGCGGAAAAGCGCATTCGATAGCCCTATTAACGCCCTTTCTGAGTAATTCTCTCAGATTTGACCTAACGCCAACGGTTTTGCCTGCAGGGGGCAAAAACTGCAAAAATAGCCGATTTTTTCGGAAACAGTTTTTCTGCAATAACTTTTGACCCAAGCCCTGTACGAGCTTACTTTTACCGGCATCGTGTTCCTCTCGTCAAGACGCATCGAATGAACTATAACTTGACCTTGAAAGGTCAACTTGAAAATTTGACCTCAGGTCAAGGTCATGACCTGACCGGAAAGGGTCATGTTGCATATCAGTCGATCCGTATCGTCGAGCTGAACACATCTAAGGCGTTTTCATCGCTCTAGCATGCCTCTATCAAAAGTTATTTGCGAAAAACTGTTAGATACCATTCGTGACCTAAGATGACCTCAGGGCATAAACAAGGGTCACCGACACCATTTTCATGTTCAGTGTGTCTAAACCACTTGTAATTCGGTGTTTGGGAGTGTTTATAATGTCTTTCGACCAAAAGAGGCGCATTTCAATTTTCTCCCATTGACTTATAATGGGGAGGTCGCAAAATTGACCTGACCTTAGGTCATCGATATCAAAATTCTGAGATATACATTTTGTACATGCTATTGCTCTTAGCAATCGCTGAAAGTTTCAAAGCGATCGGTCACTCGGTGTAGCTATGACAGACATTGAAACTTTTTATGAGGTGAGGTCACTTCAAGTGACCTGGTGACCTGACCTTGAATGACCTTGGTCTGAAATTTTCACAACTTGTGTAGAATTGATGTATGATAAGGTGTACCAAAAACGGCGGCGCTCCGCGCCGCCGTTTTTGAGATATTCGCGAAAAACCACAAGGGGGGGGGGGTGTTCAAACACCCCCCCCCCCCAGCAGGGCGCGGGTTAAATGGCCATTTCACTGTCCATGCCTTAGTTTCGGTTTTTGTGGTATCTGTCAGAGTGGAGGCCTTGTTATAAGTCTTTGTTGGTCTGTTGTTGCGATAGAAGTGTCTACTGCTAGCGCCTCCCCGAACGTCGTCCTACGGTTTTTTTCGGTTCGGTGCTATTTTTATTTTTCGATTACGTCACTTGTCATGATATTGTTTATTGATGAATATTCTTTTTATTTCTTATTTCTGCGATTTCCTTAGCCTGACTGCAATCATTCCCTCCGGTAGCACGTGGATCTCAAGTTCCTGAACCTGCTGTTGGCCGACCTGGAGCTGACGCTGACGGCGTTCGCGGCGCACCGGACGCGCCGGTTCCAGGCGCCGCGGCGCCTCATCGAGGAGGTGGACCAGCGGCCGCCGCCGCCGCCCCGCTGTCCGGCCGGCCGCATCAAGCTGCACGTGCGCGCCACACCGCCCACCAGCTCGGCGGCCTCGGGTCCTCCGGCGCCGCCGCCACCGCCGCGGCTACCCGCCCCGGCGCCGGCGACTCCGGCTGTGCCCCGACCGGTGGTGCCGGGCGCCGCGCCGCTGCGGGGGTACGCGCTGCAGGTGGTGCAGGGCGGCGTGGTTAAGACGATCCCGCTGTCGTCACTGTCTGGCGTGGGTGGCGGTCCCCTGGCGCTGCAGATTCAGCAGACGCCGCAGGGGCCACGGCTGGTGCCGGCCGCCTCCCAGCCGTCGGCCACGGCCTCCACCGCGGCCGGCAGTACCGTCTCCACCCCGGTCAGCGCCGGAATCGTGCTGCAGACGGGCAAACCGCTGCTGGGATCGCCGGGACCGCGGCCGCTCGGCAACGGCGCCAGGCTGACGACGCCGGCCACAGGTAAGTCGCAGGCCCGGCCAAACAAATGGTCACATCTTGTCTGGTTATTTTGTTATTGATATTAAGTTCGGTGGTAAAACGACCAGACTGATTCGTTTTGCTTTTTTTTCTATGATGTTTTCTTCGGCCTTAGCGGCATCTTTCGCCTTGACCCTTTCGAGATTCCGTTGACATCACGCTGCCGTCCGGTGGGCCGTGATGTCTCATTGATCTCGTACACCAACCGGCCTGTCTCGTTATCTCGGGCGTCCCGCATGGCGTTCGGGCGGAAAGACTACGCTACATTCTGCGTGGTTGTCGCCGTGTGACTGATCACTGCCTGTCTCAGTCTCCTGACAGTCATTTCTCTCCTTCCGCAGTGGACCCGCAGTCGCTGGCGGCGATGCTGGCGGCGCGCGGCCTGCCGGCCAACACCAACGTGACGTTCGCCCGTCTGACGCCGGCGGCCGTCGCGGCGGCGCCTCGGCCGGCCGCGTCCAACGCGCTGGTCGGCTCCGTGCCCGCCCAGCCGGCGGTGAGTGCCGCCACCGGCCCTGAGCGACGGGTGCGTGAGCGACCGCGGGCAGGGACGGGCGCACGCACCGACGATCAGCGGCGCCGGCCGGCCTGGCGGCGCCGCTTTTGCAAAGGTGCTAGATCGAATCACACGGCCAGCAGGTCTGCACGGTCGCCAGTGCAGCACCCTCTAGAACTGAGTGGACAACTGCTATGTTCTTCTATTAAAATGTTTCCGTATGTTGCTTGCCCCAGCTTTGATTTGTTCGCAAATAGTTCGATGTACGAGATGCGTGTCGCTGTTTTCGATCGTTTGAATTTGGACTTTCAACCGAGGGAGGTTGTTTTCTGGAGTGATATAACACGGGCTGATATTTTTCCATCAGGTGAACGCTGCGTCTCCCCAGTCTGTGCCGCTGCGAGCGCAGGCTCCGGCGCCGCCGCCGCCCCAACCCCCGCCGTCGGCGCCCCAGGCGAATAGCTTGCCTGCGCCGCGGCCCACCCCTCCGGCGTCACCGTCCACCGCCACACGGTCCGCCTCGGCGGCGCAGAACGCCAAGCACCACTCCGTCTTCAGGATTGTGAGTAGCCGAACTGTGCGGGCGTTTGTTGCGTCCTAGCCGTTGTGAGCTGTATCGTAATGAGTGCGCTATGTGTACTTTATGCCGTCCGGGCCGCCGGGCGTTGCCGCCTCTGGCTCGCCCGGCGCGCCCTCAGAGGCGGCAGATTATCCGGGAGGATTCGCTAACGCCACAAGCTGCCCGCCGGGCGGCCGGGAGTGGAGTTTGATAGTAGCCTCGCCAACAGATCGCAAATTCTCAATGATCATCGTGCCGCTTTGATTTGACATTGATGTTAGTGGCTAGTGTGTCTAATTGGGTGTCATGTGTCGACAGCCGGCGCTGGAGGAGCAGCGGCGGATAGCGCGGAAGGAGAAACTGCTGACGTTGTACCGGATCAACAAGCGGCGCTGCGAGGCGTGCCCCATCTACGGCGCCGACCTGGTGCAGTCGGTGCGTGTGGTGGACGGCGCCGGTGGCCGCGTGCCCGCCTGGAACGGCCTGGCGCACTGCGTGCCGGCCGACCCGTGCCAGAGCGGCGCGGCCGCCACGCGCCGCTACTGGCGCCAGACGGAGCACCTCGACCGGCTGCTGCCCACTATTCCCCAGCTGCTGGAAAGGATGCATGACATCCTCAGCAGGTGAGTCTGATTCAGTAACCAACGGATGTGACGTTATATTAATATTCTGCAGCTCTGTATGAGCGTGATGATCTTTACTTTACCTACATTCTCTGAGATGTTTTGATTACACCTCTGCTAGCCTGACGTGTCGCCACGATGGCTCCGCTCCCGTGTACCGCTGAGTGTAGTCGCTGACCGTCTACCGTATTCACAGGTACGTGGTGTACACGCCGGGCGTGGTCGCACCCGAGATCCGGCTGCACGTCAGTCACCCGCCGCCGTGGCGGCTACAGGAGGAGCGGTGGCGGCGGCTGCGGCTCACGGCCGAGCTGTCGCCGCGCACCGCCGACCTACACCCCATCGCCAGCGCCATGGCCACCCAGTTCCCCGAGCGGCGGCTCATACAGTACGACTGCGGTAAGTGACGCAGTGGGATCACACTGGACGGGGAGGACTGGGACGCGGCCGCCGGGCCGGGCTCACGGACCGCCCGCGTCGGCGCGCCGCCCGTCCCAGACAGCAACATGGCATGTCTTAGTTTCTGGGTGGCTGTCAGTACGCCATCCAAGTAGGCGACTCGCTACAAAGCCTAAAAAAAAGTTCCGGTCAATTATAATTGCTCTGTTGCCACGTTAATTAAGTTATTTGATGTTTTTGTGGAGTAGTCTTGTTCTTCAGAACGAAGCTCTGAAATAGAAATAAATATGTCGCTCCGGTTAAGTATTCGTTCTCTGTCATGTTTCATGGAGCACATCGTTTTATTGACATTGCATTTTTCGTTTTCAGGTAAACTGCAAGTGATGGACAGGCTGTTGCATAAGTTGAAGTCGGAGGGCCATCGGGTTCTCATCTTCACCCAGATGACGCGCATGCTGGATATTTTGGAACAGTTCCTCAATTTCCATGGTCACATCTACCTTCGCCTGGACGGCACCACGCGAGTGGACCAGAGACAGGTCAGTAACTCCCCTGAGAATGGTGGCGATCCGCCGGAAATTACCGGTCCGGTCTGCTCGTTGGCCGTGTCCGGTGACGACCGGCGGTACAGCAGGCGGCCCCGTGTCGTCCGGTGTGCTCTGTGGGACGCGCTGCCGACGGGACCGCGGTGCCGGTCTTCGGTACTGGCTGGTCCCGTCGGTTCCCCATACACCGACATTCTTCTAACAACGAAATACGAGCTTCGAAAATCGCTATATTGGCTCTAGGGTGTTACCGTTGTGATTAAAAATTAAAATGGCACCGATGACGTGTTGAATGGAATGGCACTCGCGGCTGATGTGAAGGGTTATTGTGGACTTTGGCGTTTCGTCTTGTGTCTCTCCACTATATGCTAATATGGCAACCTGGCTCGGGACTGACGGTGACTATCCATTTCAGGCGTTGATGGAGCGGTTTAACGCCGACAAGCGTATCTTCTGCTTCATCCTGTCGACGCGCTCGGGCGGCGTGGGCGTGAACCTCACCGGCGCCGACACGGTGGTGTTCTACGACTCGGACTGGAATCCGACGATGGACGCGCAGGCGCAGGACCGCTGCCACCGGATCGGACAGACGCGGGACGTGCACATCTACCGGCTGGTCAGCGACAAAACCATCGAGGAGAACATCGTCAAAAAGGCCAACCAGAAGCGGCTGCTCGGCGACCTGGCCATCGAGGGCGGTAACTTCACCACGGCCTTCTTCAAGAAGAACACGCTGCAGGATCTCTTCAATGTGGATATGCGTGAGGATGACGCCAGCCGAAGGATGTCGGACGCGGCGCGGCGGCGGCCAGAAAAGGTCGAGGTGAGTTTAGCCTAGACAGACTGTCGCTGTCGGAAAACCGAAAAACAGTCGATATTTTAAAGCTCGCTTAGGAGCGATCGTTTTTTAATTATTTTATTTCTTTTTTGTGTCGCTTGAAGTACACCGTCACGCAGTAGTGTTAACCGTTGCCCTTTCGAGATTCCGTTGACATTACGCTGCCGTCCGGTGGGCCGTGATGTCTTATTGATCTCGTACACTAACCGGCCTGTCTCGTTATCTCGGGCGTCCCGCATGGCGTTCGGGCGGAAAGAATACGCTACACTCAATCCATTCTATCGCCGTGCTGAGCTGTAAAAAGTCACGGTGTACTCCACCACAGCTGAATGCTCCTCGTGTCTAACCGCGTCTCCGCTCCCCCAGCCGTCGGCGCCGCCGGCCGTCACGGACCGGTCAGCAGAGGTGGCGTTCGAGACGGCGCTGGCCGCCGCCGAGGACGAGACGGACGTGCGGGCGGCGTGCACGGCGCGCGCAGAGGCCGACGCCGACATGGCCGAGTTCGACGAGAACATCCCGCTCGACGACGGCGGCGACGAGGAGATCTCCAAGGCCGAGCTCGAGGTGCAGCAGCTCGTCAAACAGGTAGGTGCTCCGATAGGGAGAGAGACAGGGGTATTACAACAGTATTCGATTAACTTTCTGTTGGTTGTATTGTAAAATACTTGCATTTCATTTGTGATAAGAACGATCATGCAGTGCATGCATGAATATAACGTTCCGGTTAGTAATTTGCGTATATACTTCTGTCATCATACTGCCGCGGCGTGTGCGGCTGCACCGCGGGCTGCCGCGGTCCGGTCTGTCGGCCCGCCGCCCTGACCGGCCGCCGGCGCCGTGTGCCCGCAGCTGACGCCGATCGAGCGCTGGGCGATGGCGTTCGTCGAGGAGACGGATGACGGCTGGCAGCGCGAGGCCGACCGCGCCGCCGCCGAGATCGACGCCCGCAAGCGCGAGTGGGAGGCGGATCACCAGCAGGCGATGCGCCAGCACGACGGCGAGTCAGACGGTGCCGCCGGTTCGGACACGGAGCTAACCTACGACGCCGCCGAGACGAGCCAGGTGCGCACGCCGCGCGCCAACACACCGTCCACGCCCTCGTGCCGCGTGACACTGCGCCGCTGTGACGAGCTGACAGACAGTCCAAAGACGCGATCGCGCAGCACGGTAGACATCAATTTGTGGACGCTAGATACGAACCCGCTGCTGCCGGGCGAGAAACCGGTGCGGAACGGGACTGGTCCGCCGCCGGCGCGCGCCACCGCCCGCCGCGGCCGGCTGGGCCGACAGCGGCGGCGGCCGAGCGGTGACTGAGCCGACTGGCCGCCGCCGCCGCACCGCAGCTCATGCGACCCGCCGTACCGCGCGTCATCAACTCACCGACTGGCCGAGGGGCGCCTCCTGACCGGCGCCCGTTCGCCAGTTCTCAGGCATTACTCGCGTATTCCCCTCCGCTCAGCGAGGCCCATCGTTTTTGTGTGATACCGATCGCTTCCATTTTGAGGCGGCGATTTTATGTACTGTGAATCTGCGCGCTGTTGGTGCGAAATAAAGCTGTGACTGGTGCCGAGCCGGCTGGCTGTGTGTGTTGGTGTGTGAGTGTGAGCGAGTCTGTCCGGGCAGGCGGCGGCGGGCGGCGCTGGTGGCGGCCGGCCGGCGCGGTGTGTCAGGGTCGGGGGGAGGCGCCGCCCGAGCCGCCGGCATGCTGACGCCCCCGGACAGACCCCTGCACACACCAGCCAGCCAGCCAGCCGGCCGGCGGATCGCGCCAGCGCAGCCGCCCGCCGCCGCCGCCGTCCCCAACACGCCACCGCCTCACTGGCGGCGTGGGTGCACCTAATATCAATATTCACAGTCGACACTAACCGTCTGCCACCTGCGCTCAGCTTCCTCGTCACATCAAATTTTTATCTGAAACAAAAATTCTAAATTTTTCGACATCAAAAGCAGGAGCAGATTTCAGGAAAACGGGTTCCCTGCCGCCCGTCTGAGCTACCGGTACAGCGCAGGGCGCATTTCACATATGCCGGATGGTTTCTCCTCGTGATCCGAGGGGTGTCAACAATAGCGAGGTAAAAGTTTCATCGTCGATCTTACTTGTATTATAGTCTTTCTTTTTTATTAAAATATTTTAACATAATTCTTCTCACGTTTTTTAGCTTCTGGCTGATTGTTTATTAATGCTGTTTTTTTACAGCAGCCGCAGGTACTCTTGAATGGAAGACATATAGATTAATATTTCATTACCTCTTCATTCGCCTCATTAGTAATTATTTAGTTTCCTGTGTATTAACTTCCTGTATTTCGCTGTGAGCTTTTGGTGCTGGATGTTTTTAAATTATTTCGAATATCCTCACAGGTATGGATTTCGGAAAACGGCGGAGACGAAATGATGCCGGTAAGTGCGCTATCATCCAACTGCTGCGGTGAGCCGTGTGTCGTGTTTATCGGCTTCGGTATTCGCGTGCAGGATGTTGTTCATTTATGTTTGTTGTACTTTAGTTTGCATATGATTGTCTGCAATTGCCAGCTAGCATGTCCACGATCCACACTGACGTTTACAATTCCGTTTTGGCTCAGATCTGGGCGCCGCCGACGCCGCCGCGGGACGACAGCGACGTCTACCTGGACTCTGTGGACGACCTGCTGTACGAGGACACGCCCATGACGGAGGCCCAGCTGCCGCCCGTGTTCGTCAGAAAGGAGCCCAGACGGATCAAGACCGAGCCCGGCGTCTCAATGCGTGAGTTTTCTACTATCGCTACGGCAGACCGTCACTGCACGTCAGCTCTCGAGTTGGTATAATTATACAACGCTGTATAATTTGTTGGCTTCCGCTGAGCTTTTAAGCCCCGCAGGGGGCTGACCGTGGTCAGAGCTGCTGCTTAGCCGGGGTCATCTGGCTCCGGCTGTGCGGTGGCTGTGACTTCGGCCAGTAAGGGGAGTAGCGCCCCCTCGGCCCCAGCTTGACGCGCGTTTGACCTGGACTTGCCTTGCTTACCGGATGGATTGTCTGCAGGATTGGCCCCGCAGGGGGTTGGCAGTGGCCTGGGTCGCTGTTGGACTGGGCTCCTTGGGCCCTCGCCCCGCGGCGGCCCTGGCCTCGGCCAGCAAGGGGAGTAGCGCCCCCTCGGCCCCAGCTTGACCCATTCTTGCTTACGATTTGCTTTTGATCACTGGATGGACAGATGGTACGGCCCGACTTTTCTTGGTTTCCGTGGTTTTGTTTCTCTTGAGCGGTCTTTGTTTGCTTTTGCTTTGCTTCTCACCGGATGTCTGCGTTTCGTTCGATCACAGCTTTCTGATTCCTTTCCCCCTTTTTTCGTTGTTTTTTGCACCCGCAGGAACACAGCCGAGTTGGGCTAGTGTAAGGGGAGTGGCGTCCCCTCGGGTACCAGCCGGTTTTACTAGGCTAGGCGAGCCGACCCGTACCCCAGGACAACGGGATCCTGGAGGTTGAGCCCCCCACCGTGCGGAGCCAGTCGCGGTGGCTGGGCAACACGCCTCTTTGGCCCTGAGTTCTGTAAGGGCGGGACACTCAGTGGGGCGCCGCACTTGAGGAGCCATTCCCAGTCGTGATGCCGCCGGGGGTGGTGTTGGAGAGGTGTCGCCGGCGGGGTTCGGGCACTTGTGCTCGTCCTCCGTCGGTGGGACTGATCTGTCGCTGCCCCTGGCGGTGACTCGGCGAGGCGTCAAGGGAGGAGGCGGTATCCGACCGTGGGGGGTGGTGAGTCTCTCTCTCCCCCTCGGAAGGTGCCGCCAAGTCCCGTACAGTCAGCTCGGCCGTCCTAGGCCTTGTAGCGGCGCCGTTGCGGAGCGTCGGCGGCCGAGCTGGCGGAGACCAAGCACACTTACATGGATGACCGGACCAACCCCCCTTCCCCTCAATCCAACCCCTCGGCTTCGGCCGATTCTCGCCCGTTGGCCTCGGCCGGCGGGCGAACGTCACACGAGAAGGTTCCTCGAAACCCAAAGATCCTTATCCTAAGGAGCAGTGACAAACAGCTGGGTGCGCTGTCCCCCTTCCAACGGAAGGACGGCTGCGACCGCCTCGGCAAGATCCTCCGCTGCGATCGGATGCGCGATGGGGCTTTGGAAGTCGAATTCGAGAAAAGTGAGGAGGCTGCAAAAGCCTTAAGCGCCACCCGATTTGTGTATACCGAGGGACGGGCCTCCGGCAGGAAGCTGGTCTCTGTCTCTCTCTCAGTTGAGCCGCACAGGTCAAAGAACTCGAGCAGAGGGGTCATCAACTGCTTTGACCTCAGAGACGTGAGCAATGACGACATTGCAGACGGCCTCGCCGACTTTGGCGTCACAGCAGCACACCGCATCTTGGCGAGGAGAGGCACGGTCCCCACGAATAACATTATCTTAACCTTTGACTCCACCGACATGCCGAGCGAGGTTCGCGTGGGGTACGTGAGGGTTCGTGTGCGACCTTACGTCCCGGCACCCATGCGTTGTTTCCGCTGTCAACGTTTTGGTCATACGAAGGACAACTGCCGAGGCAAACCCGTGTGCTCCAAGTGTGCTTCCCAGGACCACACTGACGACACGTGCAGCTCGGAAACCCCTCGATGCGTCAACTGCGGAGAGGGGCAGACACCGCACTCCGCGTATGACAGGTCCTGCCCTACATACGTCAAAGAGAAGGAGATAAACACCATCAAGGCTACCAGAAATCTGTCGTTTAAAGAGGCCCGGGAGGTGTATAACCAAACTCACCCGAAGACCTCGTATGCCCAAAAGGTGAGAGTGACAAACTCAACCGATGCCTCCCAGATGAGTGTTGCACAGCTTGTGCAGCTCCTCAAGCGATTCGGCCTCACTGTCGTAGCCACTGATGGCTCAGCGGACCCCCCGGCGCCTCGTGTGCCGCCGAGCGACACGGAGCAGGCTGCTCAGGAGTCAGTGTGGGGTCCACCCAGTCCGGCTCCAGCCGCGAGTGGAGACGAGTGGACCGTCGTCCAGCGCCGACAGGGTGGTCGGCGCCCCCCGGCGCAGGGTAAGGCGCCACCCACCCCGCCCCGCCCCCGACCGTCTACGGCGGTGCAGGAGGCTCTGCGGCGGGGGGAGGAGGAGAGGAGGGCACGTGAGGCGAGGAGGGCTCGCCTCGTCCAGAAGGCCCTCGAGGCTAAAGAAGCCTCGTCTGCCGACTCCGCCTCCGGGAGTGCCAACGCGGCCGCCGCCGCTGACACCCCGGAGACACCTGAGGCGGGGACTCGGCCCATCATGGGTCCCCCGCCGCCTCCTCCACCTCCGCAGCGGCGGCCACCACCGCCGCTGCCAGAGACGCCTGTGTCGAGGACACAGGCCGCCGCCTCGACATCCCCGTCGGGGCGGCAACAGTCCTCCGCGGCTCCAGGGCGCCTCGCCAAGCGGCAGACGCCCCCGAGCTGGTCGCCCTCGGAGGGTGACGCCCCTCGGGCGAAAAAGCCCCAGCAGGGATCGAGCCACGCCCGATCTGCCTCCGCTGAAGGGAGGCTTCACCGAGAGGGCTCGGGGCACCCCCGCATCCGTTACGGGGGGAGCGCCTCCTCGGAGTTAGAGGACCTAGTCTAGTCTTTCAGTCTAGTTATTTCCTCTTTTATCCTTTTATCTTTTTCGCGCTATTGCGCTTTTTTACCAGGTGCATTTCTCTCGGTGTTTTTTACCTTTTTTGTGGTCAGTCAGGTATCTGCGTGCGCCTTTGCCTCATGTTATACGCGCCCTTTTTGCGCCTTTTTAACCACGCCTTTTATTCTACAGTGGAACTGTAGAGGCCTCCGGGCCAACTACCAGGACCTACAGTCTCTTATCCGTTGGCGCACACCCCTTGTTTTAGGTCTCCAGGAGACCAAGCTTGCGCCAAATGTCACCCTTGCCATCAAGGGCTACTCTGTTTTTAGGAGAGACCTGGACACCCCTACCATTGCCCATGGAGGTGTGCTTCTGGCGGTTCACCACAGCGTACCTGCTCGCCAGGTGCCGCTGCAGACTCCCCTGCAGGCGGTGGCCGCCAGAGTTGATTTCAACCACCGGGAACTGACTGTGTGCTCCTTATACCTTCCACCAGGTATAGCGCTCCCGGTGGTTGAGCTTCATCGACTTGTCGATGAGCTTCCACCTCCGGTCCTGGTAGTCGGCGATTTTAACGCCCATAGCCTGGCGTGGGGATGCGACACGACTGGCACTCGTGGTCGACTTTTAGAATCTTTTATCCGCGATGAGGCGCTGTGTATTTTAAATACAGGACAGCGCACCCATTTTACAACACCCTCCGGTCAAACATCGGCTCTGGACCTGAGCTTAGTCAGTCCGCGGCTAGCTCAGCTTTTTACCTGGTCCGTCCATGACGACCCACTCGGGAGCGACCACTTCCCAGTGTGGCTGGAGCACCAGGAGTCCCCAGTGTCGGGCAACCGTCCACCTAGGTGGAATGTTCGGAAAGCCGACTGGGGCGAATTCCAGGCCGCTGTAGAGGCCTCTGTTTTAGCCAGAGCCGACGCCTCTGTGATGTCTACAGAGGATTTTACATGTTTACTCAATGACTCCGCAAACGGGTGCATACCCAAGACGTCGAGTCAGCCTCGTCGTCCTCCGGTCCCGTGGTGGACCAAGGAATGCGGAGATGCGATTCGTGCCAGGAAACGCGCTTTTAGAAAGTTTGACCGGAGTAGTACTACTGAGAACCTCATCGCTTTTAAGAGAGCGCGGGCTTTTGCCCGACGCGTTTTAAAGGAGGCAAAGGCTGTTTCATGGCGCACTTATGTAAGTTCCTTAAACCGTTTTACTCCTACGACCCAAATATGGGCACGCATGAAGCGCATTGAAGGCCGGTTCAGCTCTGTTCCGCTTCCGGTTTTAAGAGTGAACAACACGGACATATCACCCTTCAGACGTCGCAGAGACGATAGGTCGTGCACTCTATCAGCGCTGCCGAGGAGAGCCGTCCTCACGACCTGCACCAGCCGCCGTGGACTTCAGCACAGCTGAAAATTTGGTGTACAACGAGCTTTTCTCTATGGCTGAGCTCACGTCTGCCATCAGCTCGTTGCGCAGCGTCTCAGAAGGTCCGGATGCTGTCCACAACGACATGCTCCGTCATCTCCCAGCAGTTGCCCTCGAGGCGCTGCTAGCAACCTTCAATTCGCTTTGGGAGACTTGCACTTTCCCTGAGACCTGGCGGGAAGCCACTATCATTCCTATCTTGAAGGCTGGCAAGTCGGGACATGACCCTCTCCATTATCGGCCCATCTCTCTCACATCATCGCTATCAAAGCTGATGGAGAAGATGGTCAATGTGCGTTTTAGCTGGTTTCTGGAACATCATGGTGTTTTTACAAACGCCCAGTGCGGTTTTAGAAAGCACCGCAGCCCTGTTGACCACATTTTAGCCCTTGACACCGAGATACGCACCTGTTTTACTGAAAGGAAGCATCTTGGAGCACTGTTCTTTGATATTGAGGCGGCCTATGATACAGTGTTACGACACAGAATACTTTCCAAAGTACACAAGTACGGCATACGCGGCCGGATGGGCCTCTTTATCGAGAACTTTTTATCGGGTCGTCGGTTTAAAGTCCGAGTCGGTAACCAGTTGTCTAGCAGTTTTATCCAAGAGAATGGAGTCCCTCAGGGAGGGGTGCTTAGTGTGGCGTTATTCGCAGTGGCGATTAACGATATCGCCGATGATCTTCCGGTCTCTATCGGCAGATCGCTTTTTGTTGACGATTTTGCCATCTGGTTCGCCGCTTCCAGCGCTCGGCACATGGCCAGACAACTGCAGCTTGCAGTCAGACGGCTTGAGAGATGGAGCCGCGACAATGGTCTCCGTTTTTCAACGAGGAAGACTGTTGCCATGCATTTCTGTCGCCGCCGCTGCGCCGACCCTACATTGGGTATCCGTCTGTACGGACAGACGATCCCCACGCAGCCGGTGGCGAAGTTTCTTGGTATGACGTTTGACGGACGTTTGACGTATAAAGAACATTTTAGAACGCTTCGGGAACGATGTTTTAAATCCCTGAACGTTTTAAAGTGTGTTGCCCGCACATCATACGGTGCGGATCGCAAAACTCTGCTCCTCTTGTACCGGTCGATCATCCGATCGAAGCTGGACTACGCGTGTTTTGTTTATGATTCTGCAAGTGAGTCCAGCAAGAAGTCCCTGGACGCAGTACATCACGCTGCGCTCCGCGTTGCCACCGGGGCTTTCCGCACTTCTCCAAAGAGTAGTCTTCTGGCTGAAACGAATGAGCCACCTCTAGCTCTTCGTCGCCAGATGCTGGGGATGCGTTACACTTTGAAACTTCGCCAATACCCAACGCATCCGACGTACCCGTACGTCTTTTCACGTCACGCTACTCGATCTGACGGGAGGGTACGACCGTCGTTTGGAGAACGCATGGGAGGTCTTTTTTCAGCTGCTAACATATCCTTGCGTGGCGTTCGGCGTACCTGGGACACGCCCCCTCCACCCTGGAAAAACGCCAATCCGCAAGTGGACCTCTCACTATCGACTGTTAAGAAGGACAACTTGTTGCCTGCTGAGGCGCGAGCCAGAGCCTTAGAGCACATTGCCGTTTATGATGGTTTTATCACGGTTTATACAGACGGCTCGAAGACAACCGAGGGAGCGGGCTGCTCTTTTGTCGCTGGTCGTGACACCCGCTCGTTTTCTCTGCCACCTTCCGCCTCGGTGTTTTCTTCAGAGCTAGTCGCTATAGAGAAGGCTTTGTGTTTCATCGAGGTTTCTGGCAGTCCCTTTTACTTGATTTTATCTGATTCTCTTAGCAGCTTATTGGCCTTACGTACTTTTAACTCAGTTGACCCCATCGTGCGGGACATTTTAACTCGGCTTACGTCGGTGGAGCAATCTGGAAAATCAGTCCGTTTCTGCTGGATTCCCAGTCACGTCGGCATTGAAGGCAATGAGCTTGCTGATGCTGCTGCCAGACGCGCCGCCGCAGCACCCTGCACTCGGCGCTTGCCTCTGCCTGCCCGGGATTTTTATCCGCTGGTGCGACCCTTCATGCTTTCAAAGTGGCAGGCAGAGTGGGATTTGTGTGTAAGGAACAAGCTGAGAGAGTTGAAACCAACTCTAGAGCCTTGGCAGTCTTGCCTGCAAGGCAATCGTTTCCAGGAAGTGGTCCTCTGCAGACTCCGTATTGGTCACACATACGCGACGCACAGCTATCTCCTTTCAGGAGGTGAGCAGCCTTTGTGCAACAGGTGTTCCGTGCCTCTAACCGTCGCTCACGTTCTTTTATCTTGCCCACTCTTTGAACGGAACCGGACACGCTACCTGGGCTGTATTGCTCCTGGTACCACTATCCGCCACCTACTGGGTGACGAGTCACCCTGGGTTTTATCCGGCAATATTTTTTCCTTTATCCGTTCGGTCAACTTCCAGGTGATTTACTCAACCTGACCCAATTCCTCTCTAGTCTACTTGTCTAGTCAGTTGATTGTTACGACGCTCTTGCGTTGTTCTATCTTACCTTGCCGTTTTTATCAAGTCTTTTACTTTCTTAGCCTTGGTATATAGAAGGTCTCTTGTTTTGAAACACTTGTTTTATTAGAGTGACGTTATGGGCGCAAAATGACCTTCGCAGTCGGCGCGCCCTAAAGCCCCAATAAACAACAACAACAACAACAACAACGCTGAGCTTTTAAGATTGGGTTATTGTCAATTGTCTGTTCACCTTGCAGTAAGAGAAATTAGAGTAATGATTTTTTCCCGGCCGCGATCATTACTGATGAGGGGTTTTATCTTGTGACGACAGCGTCCCAGCCGGGCGGCAGCGGCCCGCCGCCCGCCGCGCCGCTCATCAAGAAGCCCATCAAGGTGAAGCGCGAGGAGACCAGCGGCTTTGCGCCGCGCTCGCTGTTCAACCGGCTGTCTCCGGCGGCGCTCAAGATGCGGCGTGACCTCCGTCTGCAGCAGCGGCGCACCATCTTCAGTCCTGGCAGCCTGAGCCTGCCCAGCGCCAAGCCGGCCCTGCTGGCCAACAAGGCCGGCCTGGACGAGCACGCTCCCGAGTGGCTGGTGCACGAGGATTGGGCGCTGCTACAGGTGAGCACGCTCTCTCCTTTCCCTCATTCGCGTGTGTCCCTTGGATTCCAGCAGTTACAGGATGACATAAAAGGCCGAAATTAGAGAACCTCTGACCTCACAGTCAATGCTGGACTCGATGCTTTGAACCACCCGAAGCGATCTAAATTTCCTGATACTGTTTGTTGACCAGCAAGTACCGTTTCCTACATGCTCCCTCTGACACATTGTTTTGTCCCTTCGGTAGGCCATCAAGACGGTGCTGGAGATGCCGCTGAACCTGGTGGTGGTCTCCCCGGCGCACACACCCAACTGGGACCTGGTGTCGGACCTGGTGAACCACGTCGGACGCACCTACCGCTCGGCCAAACAGTGCCGGCTCCGCTTCGAAATGGTAGTGCAGCCGCGCGAGGAGGGCAAGCTCGTCTACGACCCCAGTCCCAAGAAAATGAAGAAACACAAAATGGGTCCGGGCAAGCTGAACCTGCCGACGGCCAAGGCGGGCCGGCCGCTGCGCACCTCTCAGCTGGCCATGCAGGACAAGAACCAAGCTTTCAGCCAGCTGCTGATCTCCCGCTTTGAGAGCATGAAGTCGATCGCCAACAAGCGGGCGCCGACGACGCGTCCGGCTCTGCTGTCTCCGGCCAACCGGAACCCCAAGCACGCGGCGGTGCTTGCCGAGTCGGGCATCAACTACGACTCTCCGCTCACACCCGTCGAGGTGGCCGCCAACCGGGCGTCGCGCATCGCCAAGGAGAAAAAGACGGTGAGTGCCAGTCGTCGACCTCATATCTATTGTCCATCTTCCTATTCCATTATTGATTATGATGTGCTCTATGTGACGCATTTTTCCAACTTCAGGCTGCGTTATTCATTTTTCGTTAATTACTGTCTTGTAAGCTGCCTCTCGTCACCGGCGTGTAAAACAATCCCCTTATTCGCCCACAGGCGACCGCCGAGCAGCTGCAGCGGCTGCAGAAGGCGCAGCAGCAGGCGGCGGCCGCGGCGGCTGCTGCTGCGGCCGCTGCCGCCGCGGCCTCCAGCAGCGGCCTGGTGGCGACTCGGCAGCCGCTGGTGCCGGCCCGGGTCAGCGCCGTGGCCGTTACCTCTGCGGCGGCCGGCACCATCGTCTCCGTGTCGAGCCTGACGCCGGCCCAGGTGCAGGTGGCGCAGCGGTTCGTCTCTGGCGGCCTGGTGGCCTCCTCGGCCGCCACCAAGGCCGGCATCGCCACCTCCATCCCCATCCAGACGCTGACGCAAAAGTCGCTGACGCCCAGCCAGCTGCAGGCGCTCAAGCAGCAGACGATGCTGCGCCAGAAGCTGACCACCCTGGAGCCGCTGAAGCGACTGCAGGTGGCCACCACGGCGTCGGCGGCCGGCGGCGTCTCTGCAGGGGCCAGCGGCAGCGTCGCCGGCACGTCGACCGGTCTGACGACGAGCGGTGTGGCCGGCGCGGCGGGCACCTCGCAGAAGGTTCAGGTGGCCGTCACCTCCCTGGGTACCTCGCTCGGCACCGTCACTGGCATGGCGGCCGTGCCCGTCACCCAGGCGCAGGCCCGCACCCAGGTGCGCATCCTCAAACAGGCGGCCGGCAAACAGATGGTGGCGGCGCGCACCATGACCGAGTCCGAGATGGCCGCCATTCTGAAGCAGAAGCCGCAGCTGTCGCACCAGATGCAGCCGGCCCAGCTGAACATGCCGCAGTTCCTGGCGCAGGTGCAGAGTGCGGCGGCGGCGCGCGGCGCCAGCGGCTCGTCGTCGCCGGCCACCAGCGGCGCCACGCAAACGGTCACCATCCCGGTGACGGCCATCAGCATGGCCGGCGTCACGCTGCCGCACATGCGCGCCGGCACGCCCGCCAAGGTGAGAACCTGGCTGCGAACCCTACTGTCTTAATTGATGTTTAAGTAATTAAGCGTCATGTAAGTGTTTCTTGTCGACATATTCACATGATGAGCGATGACGAGTCGTAGCGCGCTGCTTTACGTAACGCCGCTGCCGATGAGGCATTTGTCTGATAACATCCGCTCCCGTATAACCGCTCCGACCAACCGCGGTACAGCTGCTGACCGTCCTCTCCGCCCTCCCCACCAGGTCACCACGTCCACACACCAGCAGATCCGCCAGCTGGCGCTGTCTAAACAGCAGCTGATCACGCCACAGCGCAAGCTGACCGCTCAGGCCACCCAGCTGGCGCAGGTGACTGGGAAGCGGGTGCCGACGCAGCTGTCGGCCGTGCAGATCGTCCAGGGTCAGAAGCAGCTGCCGACCACGGTCACCGTGCAGCAGATCCAGCAGGTGATGGGCCGCGACGTGATCAAGGTGCCGGCGTCGGGCGCGGCCGGCACGAGCGGCGCGCGCGCCTCGCCGCAGCAGCTGCAGGCGCGCGTGCTGCCCAGCTCGCACCACCCCATCAAGCAGACGATCCAGGTGGTGTCGGCCGGCAGTCCGTTCACGGGCAGCGCGGCCGGCGGCCTGGCGCGTCCCATCGCCACGCTGCAGCAGGGCCGGCCGGCGGCCGTGCAGCTGGTGCAGCCGGCCTCGCAGGCGGGCGGCGGGCAGACGGCGGCGGCGGCGACCACCTCTCAGCAGCAGCAGCAGCAGCAGCAGCAGCAGCAGAACAACCCCCAGCTGCAGCAGGTGAGAGCCCGATCGAGTCGAACACGGGCCTCCCTCTGAACAAGCCATGGTCGTCCAACCGCTGGCGGCTGTGGTTCCAATAGTGGGACATAGAAACGACCTTTGTTAAAACCCATCTTTCTGTACTACCGTCAGACTGGTGGATCCTGACACTGGTAACAATCAGCTCTGTTGATCATTTTTCAGCATATTTCGGGTCGTGGTATTAATTCCCACCGTACGGCAGATTTAAGTAAACTTTGATTGGCGTTTATTTAAATGTCATCAATGGATATTTAATTCAATACCATGAAGGGGTTGTAATGGTTAATCAAATGGTAGGCATTTAATTAAAAGCGTTTTCCGTCGGACTCTTCGCATATTATTGCCTGATGTTGTAGATTCAACAACTATTACACTGGCTTGTCCAATTGACTGACTTGTGTCCGTTTGCGTGTTCCCCAGACGGCCACTGTGGCGCTCAGCCAGCTGAAGCCGCTGGTGTCTGCGGCGGCGGCGGTGGTGAGCGCCAGCGGCAGCGGCGCCGGCGCCGGCTCTCCGTCTGCGCTGCGCGGCTCTCCGTACACGATGCGGCTGCGTACCGTGTCGAGCACGGCCTCGACTCCGGACCGGCCGAGCCCGGCGTCCACGCCACCGGCGCAGCCGCCGCCCGCCGACCCGGCCGCCTAGCGCGCCGCGCCTGTACACACACTGACGTACCCAGCTTTATATGTATGGCCGCTAGAGGCGGCCGGCCCGCCGCGAGGATCGCGTCATATTCATTGCTATTAGGTAGCGTGAGGTGTGCTCTGTCCTGCCGTCGCGCCCGCCGGCACGTCTCCGGCCGGCCCGCGCGGCGTCCCGTCTGGTGTTTCGGTGTTGGTTCAGTGTCCGCCGCCGTTGAGCGGTGCAGCATTCGCGGCCGTCCTCTTCGCGTCTTCAGGTGAGTTGTCGTTCTTGTGATTTTTTGCATGCAACATGGCGCAGTGTTTAGCATGTGATGATCTTCATTTTACCTACATTCTCTGAGTGTTTTGATGTTATTAACTTCTGACGAACTATGCTTTCTGACTGCGATGTTTGTTCGCTGGTCGCTCTTCTGACGGACTCTCTGCGGCCCCTAGGTCCACTTCCCCCTATGAATGGAGGACCGTCGTCTCCGTCGTTTTCCGCGCGCCTGCGTCTACAACTATCAGCAGCTGGCGGACGGGTGAGTGATGAGCCTTCAGTGGAGTTTTAGCCATTCGGTAGACTGCACTTTCGATCAGCGGCGCCGGCCGGCTTGGCGGCGCCGCTTTTGCAAAGGTGCTAGATCGAAACACACGGCCAGCAGGTCTGCACGATATCCAGTGCAGCACCCTCTAGAACTGAGTGGACAAAGCGGTCTAACTAGAGGTATTCTTTGAAGCCAAGGTCATGCGTCAGTTGTATGTGTAAATCATCGTTTTTTTCTTGCGTTTCAAGTTTTAGCGATCATCAAACTTTTCAGTTGGTACGCTGAGACCCCGATTGTTTGTGCGGCGACTCTGGTGTCTGTTGTACGACTCGTGTTTGTTACTAACGGCAGTCTGTTCTGCCCTCGCAGGCACGTGCCAGCAGTGAGGACCGCGGCGGGAGACTGCCCGGTCCGAGTGCGCCGACCCGTCCCGCCTTGGTGAGTTTCAAAGGGGTGAGTGCTCTGCCCGGGTGGTCACTAGGCACACTGACGCTCGGCTATTATGACACGTTATTGCTATGATGAGTAACCACTTACCTACATTCTCTGAGAGTATTTGATTACATAATTTCGGACTGATATCGCTTCTTCCTGTATGTTTGATGCAGTCTTGCAATGCAATCCAGCCATCCAAGAAACTTTGCACGAGACGTTTTCTTGGATGGTTTTCTTGGATAGCTTGATTTCATCGAGGGCTTCTGTTTTAAAGAAAATTTGTAAGCTTTGCTGTACTGTTAAGTAATTAGAACTGCCTGTATTTCAGTACCCAACGTGTAGTTAACGTTACTGTATTTTATTTATGCAAACTTCGGCCTTTTTAAGCAGATAACGAACGATATTAGGAAACATACAGGAAATAATATCTAGGACTCTACCGCGACGAAATATTTCTATCTCGAGTTTTCAAAGAATTTCATGCACTCGGCCAAGGCCTCGTGCATGAAATCCTTTGAAAACTCTCTATAGAAATATTTCGTTTTCGCGGTATCGTCCAAGAATGTATAATCCGATGGTTATGAAAATCGTGGAAGTGGCCTTGCTCATATATTGCTCGTTTGTTTGCAGCTGCCTGGCAACAACATCCGCCCGAACAGCTTTGTCCGAGCTTGTCTCTACTGGCGGTATTAACTGCCTTACAGTTAAGAGCAGGTGAGAATTGTAACGTCGTTTTATTTAAATTGCTTTGTGGGGTTTGGATACCGTTAGTCTTCGTTAAGACGTGATGAACTATCATTTTACCTACATTCTCTGAGCGTGTTTGATTACACTCTTTATCTGACGTTACTATGTACACGATAGCATGATTGTCTGTGTACCAACTATTTTGCTCATGAATGTCATATGTTCCAGGCAGGCGGCATTGGGAGCGGAGCGTCACCGTGTCCGTTGGAGTACAATGCTCCCTGTTTTTCTTCATATTGCCCTGCTAAATCAGGTGCGTGACCGTGTGATATTGTGTTGCTCTCATTTTTAGTTATGTCTATGATGATCTTCATTTTACCTACATTCTCTGAGTAGTTCTGATGTTAACTATGTCTGATGTTTGTCAGCTGATGCTGGGGAAAGACTTGACGGGATCCGTAGTTTAAAGTCTTTCTTCTGGTGTTTGCAGACTGGATAGCAGGAAGTGCGCCTCCGCTAATGGATGTTAGCATCTGCCGTTTCCTGATCAGCTCGTGTCAACGGTGTCCAGCTGCGGACAGACTGGTGAGTAAAGGACCGATGTGGCACTAACATTTGTTGTGACGGAAAATATCATGGTGTCATGCACTTTCGATCAGCGGCGCCGGCCGGCCTGGCGGCGCCGCTTTTGCAAAGGTGCTAGATCGAAACACACGGCCAGCAGGTTTGCACGGTCGCCAGTGCAGCACCCTCTAGAACTGAGTGGACATTTGTGTTTATGACTCATTTAATATCCAAAACAAGTCCGGGATAACATACATGTCCTGATGTGTACTCGATGGAAGCTGAGAGCACTTGTAAGCGCTGGTATTGGTCCACCAAACATGGCCGGGTTGTGGCCGGACACTGCATTAGCCACATTGTTCGTTTTCTAAAGACGGCCTCTGTTTACAGGGGCAGATATCGGCGCCATGGCCACCCAGTTCCCCGAGCGGCGGCTCATACAGTACGACTGCGGTAAGTAGCGCAGTGGGATCACACTGGACGGGGAGGATTGGGACGCGGCCGCCGGGCCGGGCTCACGGACCGCCCGCGCCGGCGCGCCGCCCGTCCCAGACAGCAGCCATGGCATGTCTTAGTTTCTTGGGTGGTTGACCGTACGCCATCCAAGTAGGCGACTCGCTACATTCTTGTTATTCCACTGTTTCTCTTGTTCAACAAGTGTGATTGGATGCATTTCTAATGTGTTTGTCCATCGGCATGAGAAATTTGGACCGGACCGTATCTTTATGATGGATCAATCGCATAGTTTGCGCGATTCGTCTTACAGGGCACGGCGTAATTCTGATGGACCGGCTGCTGCATTAGCTAAAACAAGAGTTCCTCGCTGCAACATCTTTAAACAGCGGACACGATTGCTGTGCCCGCTCGAAGGCAACTTCATGATTGTCATAACTGTCTTCACTGGACGCCCAGGCGACAGTCCACGCGAGTGGACCAGACCAGGTTAGTAACGCAGCAGAGTCCCCCAGAACGGCGGCAATCCGCCGGAAATTACCGGTCCGGTCTGCTCATTGACCGTGTTCGGTGACGACCGGCGGTACAGCAGGCGGCCCCGTGTCGTCCGGTGTGCTCCGTGGGACGCGCTGCCGACGAGACCGCGGCGTCGGTCTTCGGCACCGACTGGTCCCGTCGGCTCCCCAAACACCAACAAAGTTTGCGGCGAAACACAATTGTAACGATCTTTGTGGGGACGTTTTCAGTAACGCCGGATTGATTAATGTTCATAATTTATATTTGGTTACGTGCAATGTGAATAACTTTGATACTGTTAGCGGTCCCGCCAGTGTTATTGGTCGTGCATGCTGTGTTGTTTCGCCGGCTGACCTGTCTCCACCCGTCCGGCAGACACCGAAACCGCCGACGGACGACGGCTGCGGACCGCGCCGCGGGCCGGCGGGCCGCGGCAGACAGACAAGTGGACCGCTCAGGTTGTACTGAGACGGGGCCCAGCCCTGCGACCCGTCCTCATCACTCACTCACTCATCGCTGACACCGTGCGCTCGCAGTCACCTCATCAGCCCCGGCCGGGCCGCGGGCTCGCATCCCCTCAGCATCTCATCATCACCTCTCGCCCCATGTGATCGATCCACTATTGTCACGTATTCGCATATTGCCGATCATTGTCACTGACGGTGCTCTACTATGAATAAACTCGTGTGTTATTGTAACTGGTTTCTGACTGTTGAATGAGAGAGGTTTATGTCGTTGGAGGGTGGTTCTGGACAATCGTACCAGCTACGGAAACATTTACGGCGGAAAAATGACTGCAGGTACGCTGAAACCAAGCTGAAGCACACATTTCAATACTGAACTCGATGCATAACACATGATGATCAAACAAAACATCTCTGAATATATATTCCCAAACCGCTCCATGATATGGGCGATGACCACTACCTGGGAATAGTTTTTTGGATTGATCCCGTCACTTACCCTCCATTAAATTATATCACAGTCGGTTTAAGTTTCCACGCATATCTGTGAGGAGGCATCCCATCACTGGCTGGTGTGAGCATCCGGCGGCCGGAGCAGTTCCTCCAGCAGTCTGCGCTCGTCTGCCGTCAGCAACGGGTGCCACATATCGACCATGAGCACCACGCGTGGCTCGCCGGCCTGCCCGCAGTGCTCGGCGTGGTGCAGGTGCGAATCGTCAAACAGGAGGCAACGGTCGCGGGTCCAGGGGCGCTCCTCACCAGCCACTACCAGCCGACATCCGTCCGGTACCTCCAGACCTGACGACGCCACGGGGAGGACGTCAGACGTCGAGAAACCAGACGAAAAGAATGTATCTTGTCATCGGGGGGATAAAACACGTCGCAAGGCTATATGCGTAGTCTCTTGAAAGTACCGATACACAGTGTGGCGGTTTTATTTACTGGGGCTTTAAACGCGCGCCGACTGCTAAGAGCATTTTACACCGGTGCATCAAGCCTGATCGAGAGAGGACTTGAGTCACTGAACCACTTGACCTGGGCGGGAAATGGAGATGTTGGAGAGAAAGTGGTGAGCGAGCGTCGAACCGATTTTAGCCGTTGGTCCACCGGTACCATAGTTCCCCTATATCGGTGCTTTCAAGAGATACTATACGAATAACAGAGTCAGACATCACGATTGCTTTAGACCTTTCATCAAGAAATCAACGCCCGTGTCTCTCAGTTCCGCTTACCGAGATGACACCGCACTCGCACGTTGGTGGGTCCCAGATGAGGCTCAATGCTGGTGCCCGGTTCCAGCACGGAGAAGCACACGTTTGAGAACACCGTGTGCCGCATCGCTCCGGCCAGGGAGTCGACGGCAGCGAGGGTCGCAGCACACTCCCCGGGGCCCAGTCGACTGCAGCCCTGGTTCACCAGCCAGAACAGCCGCCACCGGCCGGCCGGACTCGAGTTGACGCTCCAGCGGTGCGGCTGGTCGCGCGCCCACCGGTAGTCTGCGGCGATGGCGGCGGCAGCGAGCCGCAGCCGGCGCTGGTCGGCCTCGTGCGCGGTGTCCCACCAGACACGCTCGGAGAGCTCGGCGACCATCAGACGGCCGGCCGGCTCGCCTGCGCCGCCGGTCCGGCGCCACTCCGCCACAGCGCAGCGCACCCTGTATGACACGGGCTGACCGGCAGAGGCGGCCTGCTCCAGCCGCGCTGCCGCCCGGTCCGCCGCGTCCGCGGCACCGTGGCAGCGGGTGCAGTCGAGCGAGCGGCACTGGTCAGGTGGCGGCGGCGGCGGCGCCGGCCTCAGCCGCCGCAGCAGCAGCACACAGACCAGGCCGGCGGCGACCGTGACGCCGAGGGCCGCCCAGCCGGCCTCCAGCGAGTCCGGCAGGCGCCACTGCAGGTGGTCACCGCAGCACGACTGCAGGTAGCTGTCCATCGGCTCTGGCAGATCGCGGTGGCTAAAAACAAAACCCAGACTCGATGAAACTACAAAGGGCCTTGCATTATAATGATGGTATTTTTTATATGACTGAACAGGTGGCTGAGGAGTTCTGTAATTCAATAAAAGATTATGCATTGTTCTTATCACAGATAAGCTCAGTTGGGTTGTTGTTGTTGTTGTTGTTGGATTAGGGCGCGTAGCTGCCAGGGCTCAAGCGTCCATCTTCTTTCTTCTCTCACTCGGTGTCTCGTCTTGTATCGCTGATAGGCGATTTTGCTTTTGGGAAACTAAGCAGGGTCACTAAGCAAGGCTCTGAAGGATGCGGTATAGCTGGGAAAGGGTATGCAAGGACTTTTCGTGGAGAAGGGCAAGGTAAAGTTAATGTTAAGTTATTTCCTCTTCTACTTTATATTAATCTTGTTAGTTCACACAACTTTGATCTGATGTAATCTACTAGTTAAGATTGCTAAAAGCGGGAGAGAGCAAAGTTCGGTCAGATAGGCACTAACTAAACGACACTACTTAGGTCATACATGGGTCAGTTACACAACGATCGGAGGAAGTCAAGTAACATCTCGTAACAATCGTCACAGACACAGCTGTGGTGCAGCGTGCTGGTAACGAGCAATCACATCGGTGTCAGATAGAGCACTCGCAAGTCACAATCAATCACATCTTGTCCACGCCACCGTGCACACATAGTTGGTAGGTACCCTGAAGGAAGTCATGTACAGGGCATCCAGTCGTGGGTGTCGAATGTCGATCAACGTATGGATGGGGAGCATACGAACAGCATATTTTGAGCACAGTGAGGTAAGCATATAAAAGAGAGAATCATCGCGCAGAGAGAAACAAAACAATGCGCCGCTTAATCCGTTTATCCAAGAGCAGGTGTGACAGAGGATGTACATGCCAAAGGCTGCATGTACAAATGATCAACACAGACAAATGAATGTGAAAAAAACGAGTTGAGCAATCACAAATAAACAATCCGTGCAGAAGTCGATGCATAGAGGAAAGTAAGATTGGACTGGAGATTGGAGAACGCTCTACAATTTGTTGATGAGATTGCACTGTTGGAGAAAAAGAAACAGCGCGTCTATGATGGTGATGTCCTTATCACCTAGCAATGTGTTTAGACTCATAGGAACACGAGCCATTCGACAGATCGTTCTCAGACTCTGTCTCTTAGTGGAAAAACGTCGACAATCAAGAAGAAGATGTGAAACATCCAAGTCATCATCACATGTGTCGCATATCGGTGGAAGAGTGTGATCCATAATATAAGAGTGAGTAAGAACGGTGTGTCCCAACCTCAGTCGGCACAGTATCACCTCCTCTGTACGATTTTTGCGGTGACAGGACTTCCAATGTCCGGTGAGTGGCTTAATTTGTTTGAGTTGGGTTGATCTATACTCTTCCCACTCTTTGGCGAATCTCTTTGAGATGCATTCCGTCACACGAGGAATGTGTTCTCTGTAACTCATTTTGACCGGAGTGGTTCGGTCTTTTTGGTGTGCCTTCTTTGCCCAGTAATCAGCACGAACATTGCCAGAAATCCCTCTATGTCCTGGGATCCAGACCACCGTGCAAAGAAGTCCGTCTCGCCAGTTCATGTGGTACAGCTCTAATATATCTACCAGTAGAGGATGCTCCCGACTTTGTGAGGTCAGCGCTATGACCGCAGACTGAGAGTCGGTGCAAACGACGGCTCGTTGTACTCGGTTGTCTCGGATATATTCCATTGCTGCGAGGATTGCGAACAGTTCGGCAGTATATATGGAGGCTTCACCAGGAAGCTTAAAAGAAAAAAAGGCATTGTTCAATGTGAAGGCACAACCGACTGACGTGTCCGTTTTAGAGCCATCGGTAAAGAATATCCTGTAACCAGGGTAAGTGGCGATAAGTTCATGGAAAGCCGTCTGGACATCAGCGTCTGTCATTGCTCGTTTATTCTCCGTCAACATGACAGCATCAATCTCAGTAAGCAACCATGGTGGAATATTCCCTTCAGGTTTGGTGATATTACCAGGTGGGAGAAACTGCATGGAGGAGAATAACCGCTTCAGCCGGAATTTAAGGGGCATCCCAGCGATTCTTTGCATGTATGTCTCGGAAACATCCTCGTATGTTTGATCAGTGGAGACTGTGGACATCAGTGAGTAGTTCTGATGTCGGTTGTCGCTCACCATCTTTAAATAATACCTGAGGAGTAGGCCTTGTCGTCTCAGTTCGAGTGGAAACACATGGGTATCAACCTGCATGGCTTTTACCGGAGAAGTGCGTAACGCTCCTGTTGCTATGCGGAGACACATGTTTTGTACAGTTTCTAACGCCTTGCTTTTACTGTGGCCAGCCCCATCAAGGATGTGTGATCCATATTCGAGGATAGGTCGGACAAGCGTCGAGTACAGTCTGAGTAGAGTCGCTCGGTCTGCGCCAAATCTTTTTCCAGCGATGCTTTTCATGATAGCAATTCTCTTAATCGCTTTGCCTTTCGTATATTCCATGTGTGTGGATAGATTCAGACGAGAATCGAGTATCATCCCTAAATATTTCACTTGCTGTACCAGGGGAATACAGTCATTGTTCAGCATCAGCGGTGGTAAATTGGCATCCACACGTCGAAGCCCTCGGCGGAATAGTATAGCCTTGGACTTATGTGCTGAAAACGTAAACCCATTCTCGTTGGCCCATTCCCCTATACAGTTCAAGGCCTGCTGTATCAGTATGGAGATGTTCTCAATTGAGCGTCCCTGAGACCAGATAGTACAGTCGTCAGCGTATATAGCTAGCGAGACGTGTCGTGGAATTCGGTCAGACAGAGAGTCAATCGCAATATTAAACAGTAGAGGTGAAATGACTCCTCCTTGAACCACACCATAGTCCTGTTGATACACATCTGATAAAACTCCACACCGTACCTGGAAGGTTCTGTTCGTAAGGTAATTATTCACAAAATGCATCAGGTGACCTCGGAAACCAATTTGGTACATTCTGTGAAGTACCACGGTCGGTGAAACCATATTGTAGGCCGACTTTATATCCAGGAAAACTCCTAGGGTGCTGCAGTGATGCAAAAAACCGTCACGAACATGCGAGTCGATTCGTACCAGGTGATCAACCGTTGATTTCCCTGGACGAAAGGCACATTGGTAGGTCGACAACAAATCATGTCGTTCCAAACACCAGCTCAGTCGTTTGGCAATCATTCGCTCAAGCAGCTTGCACATGCAAGAAGTCAACTGTATTGGCCTGTAGGATTCCACTTTGTTGCAATCTTTCCCCGGTTTAAGTAT